CCATGATGAGTTCCTTAAATGTAGAATTACATGAAAAATGCTAAAGTATTATAATTCCATATTCTACGGGGGAAAAAACACAAAAAAAAAACCCTAATAAATAATGACAGCGCATTCATCAAGCTTGTAATTATATATGTGCACCGTGCAAAACAGAAACACATTAACTCCTTCAGAGGAATCCAACCATTAAAACCACTAAATGTTCTATTAGTGCACTGGTTTAGAATGGTAATTACTAGATGTGCATTGCACACTTGAGGGAATGAGTGCATTTGCATAAAATCTGTGGTTGCTGAAGAGGACACACACACACACAGCTCTCTCTAACGCTGCATCTGTAAATCCGTTCATGTCATCCTCTCATCATCATCATCAGCAGCAGCTCAAACAGGGGCTGCTCGATCGCAGATTGATGACTTTCCCAGCACGATCGATAGCGAACCTACAATGTGAACCACTGCGCAAAGGAAAGCAGCAGACACACGCAAAACGCGCACGGATATAGGCAGCTGGTTTTGAGACACACAACATTGGATGATGATGCACTCGGGCTTTTTATAGCTTAATCTCTCACCTCCAGGTGGGCACGTGGGCCTCATAGTCCCAGTATTCCCTGCTCTTCAAAGTGTTGACATCGGCATACACCCGAGACTTACTACCGGCCACCGGGCCGGGCATGGCGCGTGACGGGGCTCAGGGTGTACGAGAAATCTCCAAATCCAAACCAAAACACGCAAAAATAAAATAAAATAAGAGATAAACGCGCAAACACACAAACTCACACACACACAAACGAAAGATCAGCGATTATAGGCAGACCAGCCAGGAGATGTGATTGTATCCGATTGAGGCGTGCGATATCTGATAGCAGCGGCGGAAAAGATAAAGCGCGTTGGCCGCTGAGCAGCGCTCGTTCCCCGGCTTGTCAGCGGCGCTCTGACCGCCTGGAGCTCCGAGAGGGTTGAAAATGAATGGTGGATAGTCTGTGAAATGCTCCGGCAGTGCGAATGCGACGTCTATTTCCGATCTGAATGTGTTGAAGTTTTGTGAAAAGTTTAAAAATAGATAGTAGGCGGGGGGGTTTGTTTAAATCTAATTATTGTGGGTTAAACCCCCCCACCACCCCAAAGGGGCCCCAAATCCCTAAATCCAAAGCATAGAGAACCGAGAAGAAAAACAAAAAGCGCCAGGATGTGATTCCTCTCAGTCTGGAGTAAGTGGCGTTGCAAAATATAGTCCACGGTGAGTGAGTAGAATTTAACTAACCAGTGCCTAAGCTGGATATTGACTGGTTAGAGAGAGAGAGAGAGAGAGACGGAGAGAGAGAGAACGGGAGGCGGTGGACTCGAGATCGATGTTTAACTGATCTCCGCTAAAAACCGTGTCACAGTGACGTCGCGTGCGTAGCCGTTATGCAGGAATCGCGAAAAACGTTTATAATCCCGTGCAGTGCTGTGCTTGTTAGCGGGGTTCGGGTTTTCCGGACCAATCCCCCCCGTGCTGCTGCAGGAAAAAACGGACAGCTACGGTTTGACCCGGAAGCTCATGGTAGCTTTATCAATTAGCATCGAAAATCCGGAAGTACAAGTTGCTATGGCCAGTGGGCACGTCTGTCCGTTGCTATGCGCCCATATGTGAAACACTTCCGTTTGCACAACAGACTGACGCATGAACAACAGTCCCGTAGCCAGGCCAGGGGGAGGGCTCGGGTGGTTCGAAAGACGGTCAGGATGGTCAGGGTATATTCTGGCAAACCGCATCCAGAATTTGGATCATACGAGCTCATGTGTACTATTTTGAATGCTACGCCATCATACATTGTGAAAATAACCCATGCATTGAAAAAGGTTGTTGTGACTTCAGCTAATCAGTTTTAGCCAACACTAAAACTCCAGCTGTGCGAGAAACAATACACTCTGATGAAGTGAAGTCATCTTTTTGCTACTGTACTGTTTTTAAATAAAGAAAACATTGCACAAGTGACTTTTATTTTTGAAACAAAAAGTGATCGATTCGATAAAAAGGTGTGAAGCACCAGCAGCCTAATAATTTGAATACCAATTTTGCTTTTGTTGTTGTCCATGGTTTTCCAAATGTAGGCCTACTTTTTTACCAGAGAGACTACAAAAATCGTGAAGCTCTACATTATTATTATTAGTAGTAGTATATTGTGTTTTATTTTTATGTCATTCAAATGGCCAAATTCTTCTTTTTCTTTGGTTTTATTAATGCCACAAGAACAAGATATACATTTCACATAGCTTTCTGAAAGAGAAAAATATCGAAAATAAATAAATAAAAACACATTTACATGAAAAATGTTTTCAGAGCATTACATGTTTTCAGTGCTTTTTGTTTTGTGATTGTAATTAAAGATTTATATATAATTTGAAGTCATTCAGAAAATGGGAAAAGTTTGGTTTACACTGAGCCCACTTTTTCTTATGTATTTGGTATTTTCCTAACATAAACAAATTAAAAATATGTTGTCCTTTACAGTTCAAGTTCTCGTTATCAGAATAAAACAGCCCATCGAATAAACAAATTTCTATCTTATGCTTCATTGTTTTGTTAAAAAACAATTCCAAATATTTCTGAAATATTCTTGAGTAAATACAATGATAAAAAAGATCTATAATAGTTTCTTTTTCTTGACCACAAAGAAACATAATAAAACATAATAGTTTCAATGACTAATTTCTAGGGCAACGCTGTTGCGCAGTAGGTAGTGCTGTCACCTCACAGCAAGGTCACTGGTTCGAACATCGGCTTAGTTGGCGTTTCTGTGTGGAGTTTGCATGTTCTCCCTGTGTTCGCGCGGGTTTCCTCCGGGTGCTTTAGTTTCACAGTACAAAGACATGTGGTACAGTTGAACTAGGTAGGCTAAATTGTCTGTAGTGTATGAGTGTGTGTGGATGTTTCCCAGAGATGGGTTCTGGCTAATAAAGCTGACAAGAAAATGAATAAACGAATGACTTATTTCTTATAACTGTTTATTTTACAAAAATATTTATTTTAGCCAAAATAAAACAAATAAGACTTTCTCCAGAAGAAAAAAATATTATCAGACACACTGTGAAAATTCCCTTGCTCTGTTAAACATAATTTGGGAAATATTTAAAAAAAGAAAAAAATATTCAAAGGGGGGCCAATAATTATGACTTCAACTGTATATGTTTATTAAACATATTAAACTGTATTACATCATAAACTGATTTATCTAACTTATAAATTAGGAGTGCACAATTTTGGAAAAATCTGACGTTGCAATCTTTTGTTTTTCTGCGATATATGTTGTGATTTACTGTTTTGGAAAGAATTTTTGGTCACTTTAATTGAAGGTTCACTTTTCAATCTTTACAAACAATTTTGACTTGCTTTAATAAACTCATAATTTTCATTCATTCATTTTCTTTTCGAATTTGTCTGTTTATTAATCTGCGGAATGAACCGCCAACTTATCCAGCATATGTTTAACGCAGCAGATGCCCTTCCAGGAAGCATTTATACACAAACCATTCACACCCATGCCAACACGGGGGGAACATGCAATCTTTACACAGAAATGCCAACTGACCCAGCTGAGGCTCAAACCAGCAACCTTCTTGCTGTAAGGTAACAGCGCTACCCATTGTGCCACTGAGTTGCCAACTCCTAATTTTCTCCTTATTAATAGCTAGGGATTAGTAGTATGATAGGGATAGTAGTTTAGGGATTACGGGATACAGAATAAGATCATAAAGAAAAGCAGTCAATATCTCAATAACCTATAGCAACTTAGTAAGAATTGGTCCTTAAAGTGTTACCAAATGTACAGCCTTATTAAAATGATTGAAACTTAGTGGTTTTAAAAGGCAATTTTTTTTAAATTGAGCATAAACAGGTTTTTAAAAGGGGCGACACGGGGTGCAGTGGGTAGTGCTGTCGCCTCACAGCAAGAAGGTCGCTGGTTCGAGCTACGACTGGGTCTGTTGGCACTTCAATGTGGAGTTTGCATGTTCTCATCGTGCTGGCATGGCACAAGTCCAAAGACATGCACGCTATAGGTGAATTGGGTTGGCTAAATTGTCTAGTGTCCCTGGTGAAAAAAACAGCTAAAACCAGCTTGACCAGCTAAAAACAGCTAAGACCAGCTGACCAAGCTAAAACCAGCTAAGACTAATCTGACCAACTAAGACCAGCCAAAACCCCTCTAAAACCAGCCTGACACGCTAAAACCAGCTAAGACTAGCTCAACCAGCTGAAACCAGCTAAAACCAGCTTGAACTGCTAAAACCAGCGAAGACCAACCTGACCAACTAAGACCAGCTAAAAGTGGCCAAAACCCCTCTAAAACCAGTCTGACTAGCTAAAACCAGCTAAGAGTAGTTTATTTAGCTAAAACCAGCTAAGACCAGCTTGAACAGCTTAAACCAGCTAAGACCAACCTGACCAACTAAGAACAGCTAAAAAGTGGCCAAAACCCCTCTAAAACCAGCCTGACAAACCAGCCATGATGACCTGGGAAGCCAGCTAAAACCAGCTTGGGTGACCAACTGAGCCTGATAGCTTAGGCTGTTTTTTTCAGTAGGGGTATGTGTGTGAATGAGAGTGAATGTGTGTTTCCCAGTGATGGGTTTTAGCTGGAAGGGTATCTGCTGTGTGAAACATTTGTTGGATAAGTTGGTGGTTCATTCGGCCGTGGCGACCCCTGATTAATAAAGGGACTAAGCCGAAAATGAATAATCCAATGATTAAATGATTTTTCTAAATACTTCTGAAAGTATTTTTTTTTATAAACTAGTAATTAATAATAATTATTATTATTAATAATAGTAGAAATTAATAAACTATGTAATAAACTAGTAATTTAATTCACCTATTTACATTTTTGTGTATATTTATCATCTTATAAACGAATAAAAGTCGTTATCATTTTGCTTTGTCAAATATGAAACGTTCCTAATGTATGTCAAGGATGCGTTTTACTTTTGTTTACGTGCTCAAAACTGTTGCCCATAGCAACCATGGCTGAAATGACAGAGGACAGCAAAAGCGGCACAGACCGAAAACAACTTGTTGAACTTGTGGGCTTAAAGTAAGTGACATAAACTAAAGCACAAAAGCTTACTTACATACAGTTCTAACGTATTCTTGCTGTCATATTTACTAAAACAGTGAAAATAGATTAGGTTTATCTTGGTGAACGAGCCGCCGCATTTTAGCTTAGCTTATCCTTTCAGCAAACAGTTATGTCGTATAGCATTTTGTGTCATATTTTCATAACGTGTTCGTGTTTTCCGCAGTTTAACTTCCAATGCAGCGCTTAATGCAGAGATTGATTTGTTTGATCGATATATTAGTCGACTGGACCTACGGACGTTTGAAACAGTGTGGAAATGGCAGAATTTGTCAACGGAAAAGGTACGTATTTGTGTTTAACGTTAATAAGATAAACAAGTGTGTACAGTTCTAACGTAATGTTCAGTGCTTGGTGAGGTCTTTCATTAATCTGAGGTGAAATATTGTGTTTGTGTAACTGTGTAATATGCTTTAAAGCAGGGGTGTCCAAAACTTTTCTTATAAAGGGCCAAAAAACTTCATTGAGAGCTCTGGGCTGAATATATACCAAACTGCATTAACTTACATTTAATTTGCCAGGGGAAGTTTCTCATTTTTTTCAGTAATATTACAAAAAAGAAAAAAAGAAAATGTTCCACTAAATCATACTTATTATCTAATGCAGTATCGTTTTTACCATTTTTTAAAATGAAAATAGTATAGATTAACAAGAACTTAAGAACTTAACAATTCCATTTATAACACAAATAGTTCAATGCTGAATACACTAGTCGAGCTGCACCTGCCTTTACCTATATGCTTGAAGATGTACATCAAGTGACAGCATTTACATTTTAAAAGTCTGATTCATGTACAACATTTAATTGAATCATTTAATTTCAGCTGCTTTTTTTGTAGCTCAGCAATAAATAAAAGAAACAAAAGATTACATTAAATTCATTATTCAAATTGACGATTTCTGTCAAAGGCATTCACCCCAACTACCAACATTCGCCCTCTCTTTACAGATGGGATGGTTAATTTTGGCATGCGAGTGCTACTTTGGGCATCTCTGCTTTAAAGAATACATTACTGTTTAATTTTTTATCATTCTTTGCAAATCTTTACATACCAGATTCCAGGAAGAAAAGCTAAAGTACGCACCCCAGGGAGACAACAGCTCCTGACATTGGAACAGAAATGTGTTGTTGCCAAAAGCGTTTACAAAAAGATGATTGAAGATTTGAAGATAGCGAAAATCCATTCAGAAAAACAGTTGGACAATTACAAGGTCATTAGTTATGAAACAAAGAACAAGCTAACGAGGCCTACACACAGACATTTTGTATGCTTACACAACTGATTTTCCCCTCTTTAGGCAACTCTGGAAGAAGCTGATATCCACTTGGCGGAGATTAAAAAAGAACGCTCCCATTTTAAACGCAACATTGTTAAAGAGCTGGAAGACAAAAAGAGCATGACAATGAGTGCGGAGAAGGTCATGAGATACATCGAGGACAAAATAAAGGCCAAGGTAAAAGAAAACTTCAGGTTTATATATATTTTTAGAACTCTTGATCACAATGAAATAAGACATTTAAATAAAAATCAGACATTTATGTTCCTCTATTGATTGTCTGTTCACCCCAAAACTCTGATGGTATAAAACATTCATAGAGCTCAGCAAATAAAACTATTTGTATCAAGCATCAGTCAGTCAATCAAACTTGATTGATGTGTGAGAACAAATCTTATTGGCTTTTGCAGAAGCTCAAATTTCATTAGCTATATTTCGTTCCAAAGATGCAAATTAAATTCATGCGCATAACTGGATTATTGCATATAGGACATTCAAATGAAGCATTTCCATCCAAGTTGTCAAAGAAGAACAAAATCATTAATTCCTGATTATCTGGCACCAAATATCAACAGTAAAATGCAATTTGATATGGTAGGAGAAGCTGCGTCAATCTTTTGTTCATTTAATAAATGACTTGCGCCTCAGAAGGCAATGTGCTGACATGCAATGAACGCGTGCTGGCGTTTAAAGGTGTTCTTGACAATTCTGGTGGTGATTAATAATATAATAACACCAATACTGGGGTTTTAAAATGAGCAAAACAACATTTTAGATATTTTACGGTGTGCTCAGCCTGCTGGTTCGTCCATTTAAACACATTATTACCATCACATGATCATTTAAAACAAAATCATGACTTTTTTATTGCGCATACTGGAATTTGTTCGGTGAAAGTGTTTCCATTGTAGTTTATGCTCATATGTTCTTAGCGAATAAAAAGTTTACCCTACTCAGTTATGTACATTTTTTTTGCGCATTTTCAATATTTATGCACATCTTGGCATTTCCATCAACTGTTTTCTTTATGCGCACATCTAAAATCTGCGCAAAAATAGGCAGATGGAAATGTAGCTACTGTAAATTAAACTGGATTGTTATAAACACTTTCCTGATTAATGCATAAACATGTTGGTCTCAGTTCAGATGGATTTTTTTTTTTTTTTTTGATTTTTTATTCATTAACATAGAATTTTAATGGAAGGACAGAAATCTCTCAGATTTAATAAAAAAAAAGCAATTTGTGTATTAATGACAAAACAATCTTTGGAAGGTAATCAGATTGAGTAAACAATGGCAGAAATTACTTTTTTTTAATGATTTATATTACCAAATTTAAAAATCACAACGTAGTATCCAAATCTTTCCAGGACATTTTGATTGAGAAGTTGCACCGAAAAAATTCAGCACTCCTCACACACAAGAAAAAACAGCAAGCCCAGCTCAGACAACAGGAGGAGATGGCTGAGGGTGTGACAGTGTTGGACTTTGAGCTGCTCAAGTTTGAGAACATCAGATTTCGGAAGCAGCTGGATGAGCAAAACCTCAAACAAGTGAATCTCAAACTGCTTGCCGTGAAGACACTGCAGACATTAAATTCTAATAAGGTGAGATTCTCAGTCAGACGTAGATTATGTCTGATGATATTTGCTGATCTAGTATTATGACAGGAATGCATGGATAATTATTGGCATTGAGCTGCTGATCTTAAACTATAAGCGAAGTACTGTCTTGAATTTCCTCAATGTCCCCATTTTGTAGGAGAAGCTTCATATCTTGACCAATGAGTCAGAAATGCTGAGCAGTGACACGGCTTTGCGGATGAAGTTGCTGGTTAAGATTGAGGAGGAGACGGAGCAAGCGGAGGAGGTCAGGATAATTCAATTCTTTAACGTTCCTAAAATTGCAGACCTGGAAATAGACCTTCACTTCCAAAACAAACGTTACACAGTAACAACATGAGCAGAAATTAAAAATAAAGTTTGTCTGAAAGTTTTAAAGTTAAAAGCTTGAAATTAATTGCTGAAATTGCTATGCATAATTGCTCGTTTGCAGTTGCTAGTGTGTTCTGAGAGGTTGCAGTTGCTGTAGTGTTACTAGGTGGCTCGTAGTGTGCTGCAAAGTAGTTGGTATGTAGTTGCTAAGATGGCTTCACATTTTGTAGCATCATTAGCAAGTTGCTGGCATCTTTCTAATACGATTTACCAAGTTATCATCATTTTGCTAGCATGCATGTGCTAAGCAAGAATTTAGCATGGTGTTAACACGGGCCTATCAATAATCAACATGTTTCTAGTATTAATTAGCATGTTACATAAATAAACATATTTCTAGCATGAATTAGCATAAACATATTTCTGCATGTAGTTAACATGCTTCTAACAAGAATTAGCATGTTGCTAGCCTGATTTTACATTTCTACCATGCATTAGCAAGTTGCTATCATTTTTCCAACAAGCTCTATCAAGTTATCTTGTTGGTAACATATCTAGTATTAATTAGCATGTTGCTAACATTTGCCTTACATAAATTAACATATTTCTTGCACGAATTAGCATAAACACATTTCTGCATGTAGTTAACATACTTCTAACAAGAATTAGCATGTTGCTAGCCTGATTTCACATTTCTACCATGCATTAACAAGTTGTTAGCAATTTTCCAACAAGCTCAACCAAGTTATCTTGTTGCTAACATGTATCTAGTATTATTAGCATGCTGCTAACATTTGCCTTACATAAATTATCAGATTCTTAGCATGAATTAGCATGTGCAAATTTCTGCATGTAGTTATGCTTGTAACAAGAACTAGCATGTTGCTTGCCTGATTTTACATTTCTACCATGCATCAGCAAGTTGCTATTTTTTCCAACAAGCTCTACAGAGTTATCTTGTTGCTAATACATCTAGTATTAATTAGCATGTTGCTTACATTTGCCTTACATAAATTAATGTTTCTAGCACGAATTAGCATTAACACATTTCTGCATGTAGTTAACATACTTCTAACCAGAATTGGCATGCTAGCTTGAGTTCACATTTCTACCATGCATTAAGTTGCTTTTAATTTTCCAACAAGTTCTACTAAGTTATCTTGTTGATAACTTATATCTAGTATTAGTTAGCATGTTGCTAACATTTGCCTTACATAAATGAACATTTCTATCATGAACTAGCATTAAAAATTCAGCATGTAATTAACGTTTCTAACAAGAATTACCATGTTGCTAGCCTGTTTTCACATTTCCACATGTATTAACAAGTTGATATAATTTTCCAACAAGTTCTATCAAGTTATCTTGTTGCTAACATGTATCTAGCATTAATTAGCATGTTGCTAACATTTGCCTTAGATAAATGAACATATTTCTGCATGTACTTAATGTTTCTAACAAAATTTGCATGTTGCTAGTCTGATTTCACATTTCTACCATGCATTAGCAAGTTTATATAATTTTTCCAACAAGTTCTACTAACATATTATTAAATATTAATTAGCATGTTGCTAACCCAATTATAACATACTCAGCATCTTGTTAACATGTTTCTAAAGTGAATTCACATATACAGACATGTTAAAAGTGTTAATTTAGCTAACAATTCGTTTTGCTAACATGTTTTAACATTTATTATCAAGCTGCTTATGTGTTTAACAATAAATAACATGTCATTTACATGAAATGCCAATCCACTTGCTATGCATAATACATTATTTTAATAGAAACACTTTTCATACAGTTTATGTACATCATTGTCCTGTAAACATGCCCTAAAAGGCAATTAGATTGGCACTCCACTGACCAAAACCCATAGTATGGATTTTTTTCTTCTTCCCCTGACAGGAGCGACACAAAGCAGAGGCTCTAAACAGGAAGCTGAGGGACCAGTTGGCTGACTTTCACGTACCACATGTCCTCCAATATATCAAACTTAAAGAGTCCCATGGCCAGCTGCAGAAGAGTGTTAGAGAATGGGAACGAAAGGTAGAAATTGCAGAGGTGAGGATTTTGAAGTTTTTATATACATTTTTATTATTTAAATACATGTTTGTTTGTTTGTTTTTAATGTTCAAATTCTTGCATTATTTCCAGATGGCATTAAAAACCTACACAAAATCCTGGGAAAAGCTTCGATTTGCTGCTGGAGCTGGACTAGTTCCTATATAACGTGCAGTAGTAGATGCTAAATGACTATATCTGAATCAATTACAGCAAAAAAAACTCACAACAGTGTATTATTAATGAAAAGGTTTATTAGTTAGTGCTGTGTATATTAAATGCTACATACAGATATTTCAGCATTAATGTCACATCAACCGCCACATGAAGTTTTCTTACTAGCTCATTCACAATCTACAATTTGAAAAAAAGCTAAGGTGAAGTACGTGCGCTCGGAAGCGCAAAAACTTGGAACAGATAACGGGAACTAACACAGCAGGCATGCACGGGTGAAGAGGTCTCAAAACCAGAGAAAAGCCATTAAATGTAACATTTCTCTGTGGTCTTGACACTTCTGCCAAGAATATAGATATTTATATAGACATTTTAAACAATATTAATAAAAAACTTAATATATAAATGTGAAAGCATAAACAAAAAAACACAATATACTTTTCAAATCCGACTGCTCTTTGATTCTTAATGCCTACAGCAACAAAAAAGCCCCTTCATAATTAAAACAAAGAATAGATACCTTAAAGCGAAAATAAAATGGTGCCAAAGGGTTCTACAGTGAAACTAGACACCTCTGCTTAAGGCCAAAGGATCACCATGACCTCTAACCCTGCTGTACAGTACTAGGGAAAACCTAAGTGTGAAAGGGGACGATGTTTCTCAATGGGTAATACTGCATAAGCAACAGAGCTGACAATGTCACTTTGCCACGGGTAAGATCAGGGGTGCCCAAACTCGGTCCTAGAAGGGCCAGTGTAATGCAAAGTTTAGTTTCAACCCCAAACAAACATACCTGGGCCAGCTAATCAAGCTCTTATAGGTGTGGTAAAGCAAGTAGGAGCTAAAATTGGCAGAACGCCGGCCCTCCAAGAGCGAGTTTAGGTACCCCTGGGTAAGATCATGTGAAATTGGGATTGGTGGGGGTACATAAAAACTGACATTTTTTGGGTTCAATTTAATTGTGGCTCATAGAAAGTGGTAGCTTCTTGGAAAAACTAATATTACTCTTGTATGAGTTACATTTACCCTTTAAATAAAATGTAAATACAATTGTAGTAAATGTCAGTACAAAAAAAACAAACATCTAAAATGAACGCACTTGTGAGTATGCAACAAAGAAATATACTAATAGAAACATCTGAATAACGTGCAATTAAGGCCTTAGAGGCCCAAAGTAAGCACTTTCCCTCCTGGATTTTGAGGGAAACTAAAAATGTATCTTAAAGAACTTACAGTCTATAGATTTTATAAAATAATTTGAAGAAGACTGACTGTAATGTTGTGAAAGTACAAATGACTGCAGGCAAGACAGGATGTTGGCAGATTAAGAGATTAATCAAATGGATAAATCTATACAGCAGAGTAAAGATGACACTTTAGGTTACTATACAACAAATACATGAGTCCTGTTAGGTAAAGAGTGGGGCTAGGGGCAAAAAACCTTTATAAAAACGGATCCAACTTTCACACAACCTTAAACACACCATTTACAATCAAAAACTACATCTTAAAAACTGAAAATAATCTTTAAAAGGCAAATCAAAACGTAAATAATTGTATGAACTACACATGAAGAAAAAAATCGTATAAAATTGCGGTGCAGTTTAAGAAAAGACAATACAATATCTAATGACAGGACTGGTAAACAAGTTGCATACATACTAACTATGTACATACAGTAATACAGGAAGCCTTTTCAGGTTTTCAGGCAATTTGTCAGGACAGCTGAACTGATTCTTGTGGTAATATGAACCGTTTGTATACAAGATTGAAGTTTACATTTCTATATAGATTCTATATATTTACGTATAATCTCAGTGAAATGTAGAGACCGTCTGAGGTCGTTATACTTCTGCTGGTTAACAATCTGTCCCATTAGGGTGTGGTACAGTACGATGATGGTTTTTGGTACATACCATTAGTTGCCACAAGGAGGGGAAAGTCAACATTGATATATACAGACAGTTTCGACAGTTCATGACAGCACAACTCCGTCCCCCATTTTGTTTTGTCTTTAGCTGTGGGGCAAACTAAACACACAGTTGGCTGTTGGAGGTTCTCCAAATGTGCATTAAAATGTACTCGTTTTTGAGCAAGGCTAGTGATCGGAGTAGAGTTATTACATAGAGGCACAAAGTAAGCAGTAACTCATCTAGTACTTCAATGCAATACTATAAATGGACAGCTGTTTTTAATGTGAGGGTTCAAGATTGAACAAACTGTTGCAGAACAAATCATTTTTTGTCTTGTGGTATTGAAATCTAAAAGGAGTATTAGCCACTTTTCCACCGTAGGTCTAGTGTGAGCCAGGACTAACCACCGGCCAGGCAGGGGCAATAGCATGATGTGTAATTGTGATCGATTTCTCCTTCATACAATTGCAATCCAAAGTTGTTTCAGTTATTCCTTAACAGGGGGCAGATGTGGTTTAATAGAGACTTAATAGGAGTAGGACTTGTAATCAGAAGGTTGCAGGTTCAATTCCTAGTCCTGCCAAGAGTTGAAGATGGGATAAGTGAATGAACTGTTTTCTTTATCTTCAATATCCAGCTGAGGTGCCCCTGAGCAACTCACCTAACCCCTAATTCAAGGGTGGCCAAACTCGATTCTGTAGGGCTGGTGTCCTGCAGGTTTTAGCTCCAACTTGCCTCAAAACACCTGCAAGGATGTTTCTAGAAAGCCTAGTTAGAGTGTGATTAGCTAGCCCAGGTGTGTCTAATTGGGGTTGGAACTAAACTTAGCAGGATACCGGCCCTCCAGGACCAAGTCTGGGCACCCCTGCCCTAATTGCTCTTTGGGGATTGGAATCAAAAGCTGCCCACTGCTCCAGGTGTATGCTCACTGTAGCTTATAGGTCTCAAACTCGATTCCTGGAGGGTCGCAGCTCTGCAATTTTGCTCCAACCCTAATCAAACACAGCTGATCAAACTAATCAATGTCTTCAAGACTACCAGAGACTATTAAGCAGGTGTGAGTTAGAGGTGGTTGGTGCTAAATTATGAAGACCTGTGGCCCTCCGGGAATTAAATTTGAAACCACTGCTGTAGCCCCTTTCACACATGCAGACTTTTTCTGGAAAATTACCAGCAAAGGAATTTCCAGAAAGGGAACATGTGTAAACTGGCCCTTTTTAAAAATACGAGTAAATTTGTTTTGGCAATTTTCCGGAAAGAGACTCTATGTGAACACAGAAGGAGAATTGCCGGAAAGAGCGTGTTCACGTTTAGAATGTACTGACAGCTTTAAATCTTTCTCCGGACACATTTAGCTGCTGCTTGATAGTCAGTTTACGTTTCTATGACCTTGAGATCTTTGGAAAACAATTATTGATAAAATGCTTGATGAATGATAAACGGCTGAGTTTACCTGCCAACTCTGCGATCAGCTGCGTGCACGAGAAGGAGCACTTCTGTGAGTCAGATTTGAGTAGCCTACAACACAGGTAGACCTTCGTTTTAAAAATGATCTCAAGCTGCAGCACAAACACAAATGTAGGCCACATCTCAATATGCGAAAATTATCCAACATTTCTTTTTATCGAAGTTGCTCACAATGTAAACAAAGCTGTTAAGCTGTTGTTCTGCCGGATGGTAATGTTGGCGAATTTTGTTCCTAGTTATTTGGTCTGTCTCTGGGACAAAAGCAGTTACATGAATGCTAAAGTTTTAAATAAAAGTGAAACCATCAAGAAAGGACTGACCTCCTTCTAGTTTAAGACAAAAGCTCATTTTTGGTTAGAGATGTCAGAATTTACTGGTATTTTGGAATGGATGTGTGTATGGTCCTTTCCGGAACGTCCTTGCCTGTGTGAACAGCACCTGTAAAGTCATTCTGGTAATTTTCCGGATTTTTACTGGTATCACTGTGTGAAAGGGGCTTGTGTGTCATTGGGATAGGTTAAAAGTAGAGGAACAAGTTTGAGTATGGGCAAAACCATAATTGACAAGTCTCATTTCAATTAATCCACATCCAGTCTGCTTTTGAACAAAGGTATTTAGCAGGCCTTAAAAACCTGACTGTTGACCTTGAGAAAGTCCCGAGGTGCCTGATCATACTCGGGAAGGACAACGTAAAGGTGTCTGGCCCTGGCACGCACTAGCACACACACTTTTTTTTGACATTGGAAACTCATCTATTGTGAGCCACATCTGTTCAACAAGTCATGATGCAGGTCAAATACCTTCCGACTGTAGTCACAGTGCTGTATAGAATAGACTTCGTAGATCTATTTCCCAGGATTCAGATATAAACCAACAACTGATAATTCATCTTTAACTTGTTGCCAATCAAACTCATTCAAAGTATGCTGCTTGAGGGATAACTACTTGTGCATATGCACATTTTTCACAAAATGAGGTATCGTGTGGTTACTGGGCCTTGTAAGGATTAAATTGACCAGGGTAGTTTGGTAGGATTGCTAATTCAATTCAAATCTTAGCTAGGGGCAAAAGTTATTGAATGAGAGAGGACACAGGGTAGCCCCCACCTTCAGCTGTGTGCTGGACAGTGTGCTCCTGAAGGGCCCCTAGATCAGCAAAGCGCTCTCCACACCATACACATTTAAACTGAGCATCTCTTGCATGCACACTTTGATGCTTGGCTAGATGTTCACGCTGCTTGAAGCCCTTGTCACAGCTGGCACACTTGTAAGGCTTCTCTCCAGTGTGGACGCGCCTGTGGCGCTGCATCTCTGAGGAATACTTGAAGCGCTTCTCACAGTCCGGACACTTCAGGGGTTTCTCCCGGGATGGGTCGCATCGATGCTGCACAAACTCTGAGGAGGAAAGGAAGCGTCGGTCACACAGCGAGCACTTGAGAGGTTTCTCTGTGCAGTGGGAGTTCTGATGCCGCTGTAGAGTTGTGGCCTTCTTGTAAGCCTTTCCGCACACGTCACACTTGTAGGGCTTGTCTGGATTTGTGGGTGTTGAGGAAGACTCACCACATTTGTGACGAAGCAGCTCCCCGGACTGGCTGAAGCCCTTGCCACACGATGCACACTTGAAGAGGTTGTCCATGCCATGAACATGCTGGTGGTACAACAGATGTGACGGCTGCAGGAAGCCCTTGTCGCACAGGTTGCATTTGAAAGGGCGGTCAGCGGAGGGCTTGTGTGTACGTCGGTGGCGCACCAGGGCGTATTGTTGTTTAAAGCTCATCTGGCAGTCTTCACAGTGGAATGGGCGTTCCTCCGAGTGAGTGCGTTCGTGTTGCCTCAGGTCGGAAGGACGCTTGAATCCCTTCCCACAAGTGGCACAGCGAAATGGCCGAGCACCCTGAGGCTGACACTGGTGATGGAGGAGCTCGGAAGACTCTTTGAAATGCAACTCGCAAAGGTTGCACTTGAACAAGTGCTCGCCCGAGTGGGCATACATGTGACGGACTAGATGGGAGCGATGCTTGAAGCTCTTTTCGCACACTGCGCACTTGAATGGCCGTTCAGAGCTGTGGGTACGCTGGTGGTGGGCTAGATGAGATGACTGGCTGAAGCTTTTGTCGCATGTTTCACATTTAAACGGCTTTTCACCAGTGTGGACACGTTCGTGACGGGTCAGCTCAGATAAGTGACGGAAGCCCTTGGTGCACACTGAACACTTGTAGGGTCTGTCAGGATGTGAAGGCTCAAACGTAGGCTGGCCTGATGTCCCAACAGCAGCGCTGCCACTGGACGATGCTTCATCATTTGATGGCTGCCCTGGGGTAGCCGATGATGAAGTTGGGGTGGCGTTTCCAGAGCCCGGCCGATAGGTTTTTTCACATATAGAGCACTTCATGGGGTTGCCGCTGTTATGTGCATTGTGATGCTGTGCTAATGAAGTTAGCAGGGAGAAGCCCATTTTGCACACTCCACAAACAAAGGGTTTCTGTTCCACCTGCACGCATTGGTGCTCCAACAGGTCGGTGGCTTGGTGGAAGATCTTTAGACACTGCGTGCACTGAAATGAACGGTCTTGGCTTACCATGCACTGGTGCTCATGTGGATTAGCCAAATGGGAGATGTCATGGCCACAAGCACCACATTTATGTCCTCCCTCATTGCCTACATGCAGTGAGGGCTGCTGTGATTGTGCCGGGTGCTGCTGCTGTTGGTTGTGTTGCTGACTGTGGTGCTGCTGCTGTTGTTGTTGCTGCTGCTGTTGTTGCTGCAATGTCGTGTCCGGCTGGAGGACGATGCCATAGACGGTGCAGCCCAGTGCATCTGCCCCTGGTGGGATGGTGTGCACCACTGGAGGCGGGGCAACAGCATGCTGCTGCCACGCCTCCGTCATCCGGGCTCTAGTGTATGGATTCAGCTTTGAGCTGTAGTTGGACCTCTTTCCAGATGAATTCAGGGGGAAGGGATTGCTGGGCTGCCCGCGATGGGAAAGGTGGGGAGGCAGAGAGGAACTTATTTTGACAGCTCTTGTGAGGACGACAAATGGAGAAAAAAGTGAAACGTGTCAACAACACGTTATGGTTTGATTTTAACAAAGAACTGACATGGATGTGAGCCACATCCAAAAGTTTAAAAGGACTTGAGCTTCTTCATCTCCTGTAGAAGGAAGATAAGGGTAAAGATTAGATTAAATGCATTCAACAAAACACTACAGCTCATCACATTGCAGAGCTCTACAAAAAGGAAGTTGAGCCAGTTGTTGGTATCAAAATATGTAATTCAATAATAAGTTGAAAGTTGTCTTTGCACATTATGTCAATTCAAATTTTACAAAGAAAGCCTTATCTAGAACTGGCACACAGTATAAAGCCCCCTTTATATATATATAATAGCCTTTAGTTCAAATAAAATTACTACTGTTTGACTAGTTCTAGGATGGCGTAGTGGGTAGCACTGTCGCCTCACAGCAAGATGGTCGCTCATTTCCGTGTGAAGTTTGCATGTTCTCCCTGTGTTCGCATGGGTTTCCTCCAGGTGCTCCGGTTTCCCCCCACAGTTTCAATGGGTAAGCTTAATTGTCAGTACTAGTAGTGTATGTGTGTGAATGAGAGTGTATGGGACTAAGCCGAAAAGAAAATGAATGAATGAATGAATGAATAATCAGTAAGGGCCTTCCCGGTCCTACTCAAAAAGTAAGCAATAACCAATGAGAGCCAGATATTGCATGCTTGTATAATTGAATGTGTTTGGAGTATTATAATTGTACAAATTCAACTGACTGTCCATATGATTGTCTGATCTCCCGCAGTTGAAGTCCATTTTTTCCACAAGTGAGAACTTTAGCTGGCTGACACAAGTGATCTTTAAAGCTGCTCTGTGCCTGCTTAAAAGTAAATGTAAAAACAATGATATATAACGTCCAGGCAAGTTATGCTTGCTCTTTCAATCCAACAGATCGCTTTGTTGTAAAACTTACAAATATGCAACTTCAGTGTAAAAATGTAAGCCACTTCTGGAAAGTTTCTTTTTTCAGCAAAAAAGCAATAGACTGGGTTTAAATCATAAAGATACAAATAAAAAACCTAACGAGTTATCTCGAAACGACAGCTTAAAATAATACTTGATAGGGCGGACTAATATTCAAATAAGAATTTACCCATGTAGGAGCATCAGTCTAGTTAACACCCCTCGGCTTTTCTGCTGAAAGTTTGCATTACAGAACGTGTTTAAAACACAAAACTGGCCCATTTTAAGAGATATCTGTACACCTGTCCGATAGGCGCGCATGTGTGGCTATGAAAATACCGTGGTACATAAAAATAATTGACGACAGATCCTTGTCCGCTGCTCGGTTGTTTACACAAAATTCGCGCACACATCTTCGCGTTTTTTATCGCGGTGCATAAAAGCCGGTGACAAAATTCAAATGCTAGGCATCACTGATGTTTATACACAACACAAACCCGAATAACTTATAAAACAGGCGGGCTTTACAGTCACCTGAAAGAAAACACAGCTTTGCAAAATGGATAGCGAAATTTGCTAACAGGCTAACTGTAGCTTTGCAACACAAACATCATTCTAAATTATATTCAGAAATGCTTATTACCTTTTCCAGAAGCGAGTTCCACGCATGTTTATTTTTAGGAAGAGACGTTCAATTGAAAATAGAGATTATGGTGTTTCTGAAGGCCGTAAATCCTCTCGCCGATCCGCGGTTTCTAGTAGGCCGCACCCCCTGACCAGTGCCTACAAAAACACATGAAAACCCCGCCGAAGCTCCGGATCTCTCTATGGTTGTTTCGATAAAAATCGGTTACAGGCTTTTCGGGGGTTGCAGCACACTTATAGGAGCTGCCTGGCGAAAAGAGCCCGACACATAGCGGATTTTATTTCGGGCTTATACCGCTGACCACCGAAACCCCCGACAGCCGCACGGGAACCTGAATAACACATAACTGGCATCTTCACAAAACACACCGGAACTTCATGAATATTATTTAAAAATTACTTTTTACAAATACATATTCATACTAAAAACTGAACCGCTACACATTAAATGTGTTTACAATTGTTTTCAGGATTACAGACAAGTAATTTCATATTATAACACTTTTTGGGTAATTGTTGTAAATGACTGGATTTTAGTATGAAAAATAAACGTCAACATTTTGTTCATGTAAACATGCGGTTGTCAAATTATAAGTGTATAGATGCACGAGTGTTTTATATGGGTTCTTGTCATGTTGAAAGCCTTTGTTTTATTTTTTAGCGAAATGCAAAACAGCCGGAACTGTTTGAATCAATCGTTGCTGTAGTGGGACGCTGTGTGATGAGGCACAGTTTGTTTTCAGTGAGAGATCCGAATCATATTCCGAGTCGATTATTTCGACTCAGTTAAAAAAAAACTGGTTCCAAACCGAACAGCAAATAGTATCATTCGTTTAAATCAAACATTATTTAGCAATATAATATGAAAATGTGAATAAATATAGGATTTAGACGATGAACAGAAAATATTACTATTGTTTCGTTTAAGTTTGTATATAAATCTTCCCTATACAACGTATGAACACACTTAAAAAATTCATTTACTAAAGTTTTCACCTTATATATTATACTTGGTTTTCGATTCATTCATCTTCTGCAGAAATTACCAGGCGGCTTCGTTAATATTTGTGATTGAATTGTTCTTGTCGGTTAAACGAATGCAATTGCATAAAAAAAAGATCCGATTCAACGAATCGGTTCTTTAATGAATCCTCAAGTTAGTTGTAAAGGGGCGATAAGACGCAGCGGCGCCATTGAATATTATCGAAAAAAACTTTTCATAATAACAGTATCCTCACGTGTCTGAGATGACATTCTTCTAAAATAAATAGTTTTAAAAGGATTTTTTGCCTCGCCATGATTGTCAATTACAGTAGCAGCAGTTCTGAAGAGGAATCTGGAAGCTCTTCATCACCTTCAGGGAAAAGGCAAAAACTAGACACTGAAACCAGGTTTGGTGCGTTTAATCTTCTATTTCTTGCATTAGATTTATTTTATTTAATATGCAGGGCATTACATTTTGTTTTATACACACAACAACAGTGAAGCTCTGGATCATGGATCTGCTCAAAGAAAAGTGTGTAAATCCAGCCACTTGACGCCTCGTCTGCCTCTTCCTGAGAGTGTAAAGGAGATGTTCAGAGATTCAGAAGAACTGTGGACTGATAAAAGTGAAGAACATGGAGGTCGACTGCGCTCCTTCCAGCACGAGCGAGGAAACTGGGCCACATATGTCTTCTTTCCTTGTAAGCCATTTATATGAATGTCATTTATACTTAGTGTTAATATGAATTTTACTCAAATTCACAAGTGGTTAATGCAGGTGTCAAATGCTTTGAGCTTGTTCTCATTCAACCACTGTCAAAGGTAGTCGAAAACAGTTATGGTTGGGTTACGTTTGCAGAGTAAATGTGTTCAAACAGCAACAAAAGTTCCCTTTTCTCCTTCCACTGACCAAACAAGCAATTTAAAACATCAGTTTATTTTAATTACGAACAAAATGGTAGTTAAAATCAAGTCTGCACGATTTATAGAAAAATTATCGTAAAGAGGTGCCATAAATGACATTTTAAGTTGTCAATTAGGCCTGTCACGATATATTGCACCAAAATATTTTGCGATAAACAATATTATTGTCGTTTTAAGACCATTTTATGCCACTCATTATATAATGCCAGAATGACAATATAGCATTAAAATGCAAGTACAAAACTCTTCCAAAGAACACATACTATTCAATTCTTAAGAATATTATTTATTTATTTATAGTCATTTCAACAATTTAATAACTACGCATTGAAATCATAATATCCTAAACAAATAGATAATAATAAATGTTAACAAAAAAGTGCAATGTAAAAAGCAACAGAGGCTGTGATATCTGCTACCAGATCTATTTTCATTTTCCAGACACCTTAGTGAAAGTATACAATAGGAACTTACAGTAAACACTAGTGTTCTTTAAACAATACTGACACTGATTCAATAGAGATTGAAAGGTTGCGCCATCAACTAACATGTTGCTAGAATTGTTAATTATTTTTTTTAATGTATGGGAGATATACTGTACACTCACCGGCCACTTTATTAGGTACAGCTGTCCAACTGCTCGTTAAGACACATTTCTAATCAGCCAATCACATGGCAGCAACTCAATGCATATAGGCATGTAGACATGGTCAAGACGATTTATTGCAGTACAAACGGAGCATCAGAATGGGGAGGAGAGGTGATTTAAGTGACTTTGAACGTGGCATTGTTGTTGGTATGGACAAGCTGGGCTAAGTTTTTTAGAACTGTTGATCTTCTGGGATTTTCATGCACAACCATCTCTAGGGTTTACAAGATTGTAAACCATCTCTAGGATTAATAGAAGATTGGAAAAACATTGCCAGCTCTGATGAGTCTCGTCTGCTATGACATTCGGATGGTGGGGTTACAATTTGCCATCAATAACATGAAAGCATGGATCCATCCTGCTTTGTATCAACAATTCAGGCTGGTGGTGATGGTGTAATGCTGTGGGGCATATTTTCTTGGCACACTTTGAGCCCATTAGTACCAATTAAGCATCACGTCAAATCGTGTCACAGCTTACTTGAGTATTTTTGCTGACCATGTCCATCCCTTCTTGACCACTGTGTACCCATCTTTTGATGGCTACTTCCAGCAAGATAACCTGCCATAAACTGTTATGGTGTATATCATAAAGCGCAAATCGTCTCAGACTGGTTTCTTGAACATGACAAGAAAGGTAACTGTATTCAAATGGCCTCCACAGTCACCAGATCCGAATCCAATAGAGCACCTTTGGTATGTGGTGGAATGGGAGATTCGCATCATGGATGTGCAGCCGACAAATCTGCAGCAACTGCGTGATGCTATCATGTCAATATGGACCAAAATCTCTAAGGAATATTTCCAGTACCTTGTTAAATCTACGCCATAAAGGATTAAGGTAGTTATGAAGGCAAAAGGAGGTCCAACCCATTACTAGTAAGGTGTACCTAATAAAGTGGCCAGTGAGTGTATATTGTATGTCTAAGAATGATTGAGGTCATGTCCATGTGTTGTGCGATAAGTAGATATATTTATTATTGTGACATGCCTAGTGCCAAGCATTTGTGTGTTGCATGCATAGGTTGTTAATCTAAGTTTGACCAATCACATGGAACATTATGATCTTTATACCCTCTCTCTGCAGTTGCTGCTATTATGCTATTGGCTAGAATGGCCCAGAGGTGAACCCAGTTTGTCAGAGCATAGATCTAAAAATAAATACTAATAGCAAGAGTAAAGACAAGAATATCTGCAAAGGGTTAAGTCATTCATATCATTATAAAGTCTAAATGTTTGCACCTTGATATAGTTTATAATTTTATTTATAATTAAATCCTGGAATATGTATTCTGTTTATTTTAGTATGTTTATTACATGCATATATGATTTATGTCGCAGGAAATAACTTTACTTTGTGATTTTTAAATGGACATTCACACCTTGTTCACTAATAAGCCACATACTTACAACGGTTTGTTTATTCAGTAGTAGTGGATACCGAATGTAAAAAATGATGTAGACTGTTGTTATAAAAATCCAAATACAAGGGACACAGAAAACGGGCCTTAACACCCTTCCTGCCTAAATTTCAGATGATCCTGAGGAGGCCTTTCTGGAAGTGCTCAATAAAATGATGGCAGCTGCAGAAGCTCACGACATCCCTCTGACAGTTTCTGAAGAGTTTCACCTCAGTCTCTCAAAGACCGTGGTCCTGCGCCATCACTGGATTCAACCATTTGTCCAGTCTATTCGGACCAGTCTGACACACTTCCAGAAGTCAGTTTGAAATATTCAAATCCTCATATTTTCATTTGACCATATATCAGTGTTTCTCAACCACATTTCTGGAAGACCACCAGCACTGCATGTTTTGGATGTCTCCTTTGTCTGTCACACCCATTATAGGTTTTTCATTCTCTGCCAATGAGCTAATGAATCAGGTGTTTGGTTAGGGAGACATGGGCTGTTTCTCAATTCCAAGAATGCAGAGAACGCATCCGTTTAACGGAGGCCAGCTAGTGAAGTTCTGTGCAGGTAAATCTCTCTCCTCTGACTTCAAAACGTGCTCTAGCGACAGACGCTAGAGGCTATAGTCTTTAGCCTCCTTGGTAGAGCAACCGACTCCCATGCGGAGGGTCGCCGGTTTGATCCCAGCTCGGAGTGGGTTGGGTTATGTAGGACCGACGGGTTATACCTGTGTTCTCGTGTAAACTGTTTTTACCTGGTTACCTCAGAAGAATGAACTCGGGAGATGGCGATAAGGGAGAAAGCATCCTGTGAGAAATGAGATGCATTCTTCTGAGACTTCTTGAGTGAGTTTTGCCCTCAAGTCTGCATCGCAGCATCCTCGATGTCAAGAACACATCCGGGAACTTTTATGCAATCTCTGTTTGTGAGTTTTGGATTTCAACTTTGGCGGTTGACGTTACATGAGAATACAAGAATGCTGAAGAAAGCACATTGAGAAAAAGCCATGGGCAGAGCTGGTGGTCTGCCATGGAACGTGGTTGAGAAACACGTCATGTACATCAATACATCATGTTCCTGCTATCTGAATGTACTCTCTCCACAGGTTTTACTGTGTGGCCTATAAACTGAAGGTGTATTCTAATGCTGAAAAGACGAGGTATTTCATTACTACTTAAGGCTCATTCGCACCAAGGATGATAGACGTAATGTTTTAATACTTGTCCTAAATGTATTAAAGTGGATAAGTTCACACCACAGAGGAATTATATTGATGTGATAATATTCAGAATAATTGTTTTCATTTGTGGATTGAAAAAAACAACAACTGTAATCTACTATCCCCGCACTAAAGCCACTTTTCCACAGCAGTTTAGTGGGATTATCGCTGTAGTTGCACAGCCTCCACTGCTGTGATATCATCCAGATCTAAACAAACGCATGACACACACCAACCCACAACACAGAGGCAATGGATGCTACCAATGAATGCTTGCATGATTTGCTTTTTGAAGGTTCTTATCGTGATCCTGTTTTACTTGTTATAGCACATAATTTGATTAACGTCATTGCCTCACTGCGCTATCCACATTTCCTCCGCAGTTTCATTTTTAATTTGTTGACTTTAACTGCAGTTTAGCACTTTCACTTTCATTCAGGAATATTTCATTCATGCCTCTGTGACAAACGAGATTTTGGATGTATGAACTGCTGGAAGAGTGTTGTTTTAATGAATTTTGATACCGCACGTGGAATGGGAGAAAAAATACCTCCGCATTTCATGGTGTATGTGTTTGTGGTCCTTCAATGACCTGGTAAGTGCAAAGAATAGTGTCAAACAGCCCTGTGTGTGTGTGTGTGTGTGTGTGTGTGTGTGTGTGGACTATCCTGTCGCAAAACGCGGTAAAAAATCCTACGCAACAATAATAGTTTGATTGCGGAGTTCACATGTCTACTGCACTTCAATAATGCGGCTAAAATCGGCATACTCCACATGTACGTAATTGGCATGCTGTCCCGGGAGAGAGGCCTGAGCTCGTTATCCCCTCGAGCCCGGGGCTCCCTCCCGTTAGAAGGGCAAGAGGGGAGTTTGTGCTCATGTAGGCCTCGATAACTCCCCTGCTTGTCTCTGTGTAAGAAGGGTAAACTATGGTTGTCTTGGGTGGTAATTTGTTTTAGTCGATTAGCTATGGTTTAGTTTTTGGACGGTGGGAGGAAATCGGGGAACCTGGGGGAAACCCACGCAAACATGGGGAGAATATGGAAACTCCGCTCAGAAACACCAACAAGCCTGATAGGCGGTTGAACCAGCGGTGTTCTTGCTGTGAGGCAACAGTGCTAGTCATTGGGCCACCGTGTTGCCCTATCGAAAAAAAGGGGAGGATGTAGGGGTGGAAGAGGGGGAAGCTTCAAGACGAAGATAACTGGAGTGAAAAACTTTGGTTATTTATAATCCTTCCGTAATCAGATTACAGAGCTAATGAGGTGCTAACCATGTTTATCATAAGCACGTGATCCTCTCGAAGTTTGTTTATAAATAAACCACACTTCGATTTCTGTTAAATTCAATTATAACCTTAATCAGATCAATGAGTATGTTAACATGGACACCAATAATACGATTTTAATGTGACTTAAGACAATCCTCTGATTAAGAGTCTACCATGTAAACTGTGACTTTTGATTAATTTAATCCTATTAAGTTCATTATCGAACTAAACAGAAATCAGATTGAGACATGTGGAGTATTATTTGAGTCGCATTATTGCAGTGCAGTACAGACATGTAAACACCTTAATCAAACTATTACTGTCATGGTAGGATTTTCCTGCATTTTCCGACAGTATAGTCAAAACACACACGGCTGTTTGACACTTCTCTGCACCTACAGAGGCATTAAAGGACCACAGACACACAAAATGCTGATTTTTGTTTTTCCATTCAGCATGCGGTATCAAATTTCATTATAACAACACTCTTCCAGCAGTTCATACTCGCATCCAATATCTCGTTTGTCACTAGGACATGAATGAAATGTTCCTGAATGAAAGTGAAAGCACCGAACTGCAGTTAAAGTCAACAAATTAAAAATGAAACCCCTGAAATGACACAAAACTCAGGAGGAAATGTGGATAGTGTGGTGACACAATGACGTTAATCAATCTATGTGCTTTATTATGTAAAACGTAGGGATGTAACGGTATCAGAATTTCACGGTACGGTAATACCTCGGTATGAATGTCGCGGTACGGTATTTATTGAATCATTTACAGGAAAAAACAAAACTTATGAAAATACTCCAAAAAAGTGCCAAAAGTGTCAATGACATACAAATTAGCCATCTATCTGTAAGCTTTGAAACAGGAACTTCAATTTTAATAACAAAAAATTATTAAACCATGTAAAAAAATAAAGTTTCAATTTAGTATTGTTGAAAACTCATCACATTCAACATTTAATCACACTCAGCCCATCTACCCAGATGAGAGCTCTGCTAGTCGGACTTCTCATCAAGCATCTCCCGCTGGATCTAATCTCACTATATTTATTAAACGGGATATTTCATTTATCTTGTTGTCTTTATCTAACGACATATTCCCTGACTTTGGGCATTGGAATCTATTACTTGTTCTCAGGTAACGTGTTTTGGCTGAGCGCAAAGATAAGTTAATGATTAATGTAAGCACGTACATTCTGTATATTGACTGATCGCTTGCCTTTATTTCCTATAATGTATAAACTTATTGTATATTATACTTTTAAAATGGCCATTATCGATTCTTAAAACTGATACTCAGCAAAAGAGAGGCTGTGTTTCGTATTTTCACTGAAATTGAAAGGAGGCAGTTGTTATCGGCTCCGTTTTGTTATAAATATCCACACAGTGAAGATGACGCTCATCTTATGCAGCACGGCGCCTCAACATTTCTGCTGTCTAAGCTGCTAATATTAAAATGAAAATAGGCAGTTCCTTAAATCATGTTTACATTTTATTGTTGAGAAAGTGAAACAACGAAGCCAGGGTGATGTGAATGAAGTTATAAAGTACACTGTTCCCTTTGAAGATTTACCCGTGTCCTCGGTATAATCTGCTTTTCCATATCAAACTGAGAAGAAGAGACTGCAGCCTTGATCAAACTTGCGAAGTCTGAACTTACACGGAGATAATGCAGGACTGAACTGTGCGTGTAAGAGTTTTCCAGCTCTTTTCATCCCCGCTTCTAGCAGCACACTCCATTTCCGCATTACTGGATCTTTAGCAACAACAGACCGCAAGGGATGATGGTCAAGCATGGGCTGATGGCAATTGTAGTTTTCGTTACCTCCCGTTCGCTTCATTCGCCTGAGCAAATTTTCTCAGAAGACCTATAGTTTTACCGAGTCATGCGACTTCGGTAATATCGAAAAAAATTAATATTGCGGTATGACGGTATTTACAATACCGTTACATCCCTAGTAAAACGGGATCATGAAAGGAACATTCAAAAAGCAACTCAAGTAAACACCTTAATCATGTTATTGTCTTACTCAGATTAGGGCAAATAATTCGATTACTGATGTCCATGTAAACACTCATTGACAATCATAGTGACGATTCTTTCAGACCAATCAGTGATCAGCAGTGTGCATGCGTCACATTTTGGTAATTGTATGGCTTCCTTGAAACCTCACTGCAAAAAGTACAAAGTATAGAACACAGTGGAAATGAGTCAATCAATGAGCCACGCACATCAATGCAGTGCAAAAGCATCTTAAGGGTGAGTTCACACCTGCCACATTGGGTGTGATTGCTGTTAACGTGAATAAGTGTAAATGCCGCCATCCAAATAAAGAAGTGAAGTGAGACCTGAGGAGAAAAAGAAAGGTTTCCAAAGAAATGAACTGTGACCGCAAGATTGACCAAAGATATGTATTCTAAACAAACCAAAAACAGGACATGATGACACAAGATTCAACCATACAAACCACAGTATGCTAGTTTATTTTTTTTTGTATTGCAATGTTGTTCAATAAGAACAAAGCTACAAAAACAAACCTGCAGCATGGCCTTTATAATAAACAGTGTCTTCATTTGTGTGAATGAGCCTTTAGGCTTAACTAGGATATGTGTTATTCATTTATTTACTTCAATCAATGATATTTTATTGTTGACGCAGGACTTTTCTTGGGATGGAAGTCTCCACTGGAACGCCTCACTTGCTTGAGCTTAGCAAAATAGTGGATGAAACCATGAAAGAATTCAACCTTAGCACCTTTTATGAGGTTAACATTTGACATCCTCACCACATTTGTAATGTTTAAATATAATCGGTTGTCATATAACACTTTTATCTGCCCATTCTAGGATCCTTCTTTCCACATAAGTCTCGCTTGGTGTGTGGGGGATCAAACGGAAAGGTTGAAAAAGGCATGTTTATTAGAATTGCAGGTAGGAGCCCGGACACACTCCTGTACCACAACCTAAACAAGCACATGTATTGATGAAAGTCAAAGGTTATGGCTGTTTTTTATGTAGCTTTCTGAACTAATACAACTTTTGATTGAACTTTGTTGCAGGGTCTTATTGACGCTCATGAAGATGGGCCATTCCATGCAAGGCTAAACTGCAACGAGCTTCGCTGCAAGACAGGAAATAAAGTCTTTGTTTTTCCCCTCCAATGATCCTAACACTACCGATGCTTAGTCAGACATGAAATATAAAAATGTTAAAGAGGTATTTGCAACTTTCATTTCTTAATCTAGGGTTTTCCCCCCTTAGAATTACAAATTTAAAAACAAAATCTTAATATAAGTTTACCACACATTTTTTATATACTTTATTTTTATTTCTCTGTTTTTTAAGGGGAAAAAAACAAGGGAAAAAATACAAATAGTAGATTAAAATAAATAAATAACACAACAAAACACCAGAACTTAATTGAACAGTTGACAGGTCACATATTGCCTTACAGGTCACATGAACAAATACATATATAAATCAGATTACACTCTGTAAAGACATAAGTACAATCCATTTCTCCCAATATTGCAGGTATTTGTCCATTTGTAGTTTTAAAGAAAAAGTCATCCTCTCCATATTTTGAACATTAGATATGATATCCAACCACTCAGATTTTGTAGGGGGTTCCAGTTGTAGCCACTTTCGAGTCACAGTTTTCTTACTGGTTGCTAGGAGTATTTTTAACAAATACTTTTCTTTTACCGTTAAGTTGGCTGCAATATTTCCCAGATAAATTGCTGTAAAAGAAAGATCCACATCATCACCAAAAATATTATGTATTACTTGCATTACGTCCTTCAAATATGACTGAATGGCTTGGAAACTCCAAAATATGTGAAAGTGGTTTGCCAAGTCTTCTCCACATTTCCTCCAGCACTGCCCCCTGTCCTTCTCCTGCGTTTGCCTGTATGTTAATTTGGGGGTTATAAAGTATCTGGTAAGATTCTTCCAGCAAAAATCTATCCACATACCAGAATTGGAAGAGGTGGCCTGAACTGAGCAGATATTCAACCAATCTTCCTCTGAGATAACTAGGTTGGATTCTCTCTCCCATTTTAGTCTGATGTAATTTGTTGATTCTTCCTTGGGCGATCGATGGCAGAATACAGTTTTGAACCAAGTCTTCTATTGTCTTTGTTCTTGTAGATGTCAATAACTAAGTCAATTAAACTGGGGGGATGGTTCTCCGAGCATCTAATCTCGCTATTAAAATAGGTCCTGGTTTGCAAGTACCTAAAGAAATCACATTTGTCCAGACCATACATATCTGAGATTTTCTGGAAGCGATCTAATTCCCCATTTGAGGAAATTAAAGTAAATGTAGTGATGCCAAGCCTATACCAAGCTTGAAATCTCCCATCGATTTTAGCTGGTTTAAAGTCAGGGTCAAATGCTACCCATTTTACCACACATTTTTTACTTAATTTTTACAATTCTAACCCTTTCCTATTTACATCATGAACGTCTCACAATTGACAGTTTTACTAGAGAAATTCTAGAAGTGTTTTTTTCTTTAAAGGGGATTTTTTTCTTAACAATTCTAGAGGCCATTGAGCAAACCTGTATTTTTAAACTCCTGAACTGACTGTCTAGCTATTTCTTAGGGGGGGGGAAGTCAAAATTGCAAGACGTAAACACTCAAAAAAGGATATTAATTCTCTATGTTGAGGGGGAGCAATTTTAAAGAGCCCCTATTATGCATTATAAAAGGTCATATTTTGGTTTAGGGGGTCTCCAACAACAGGCTGATATGCATGTAAGGTCAAAAAACACTTTCATTGTTTTATAATATGCATTTATCTTTACCTAATTATCCCAACGACTCTCCTACAATTCATTCAGCGATTCATTTGTTCCCAAACCCCTCCTTTGCGTAAGGCTAATTTACGCTGATTGGTTTGATGACCCAGTTTGTTGTGATTGGTCGACTGCATTCATGTCACTGAAATGCTCAAGAAATAGTCAGAGCACAGAGTATTTGTGAGCCCAATGCAGGAATGCATTAAAGCAATGACGTTAAACACCATCATATTACTCTATTTTTAACCACTAACCCAAGTAATAACAATGACACACATTCAGTATTAATCCAAACAGTGGCAAAAGTTGAACTTTTTTGAAAATTGACTGCGCCACGCGTGTTAGGAACAGCTAATGGTGGCCATAGCAACAAACAGCAAGAGATCGCGAGCACAAAACGTATTTAAACTGATAAAGGAAGAAGCACACGTTACGTTTTCAATGTGGTCTTGGACGCGATATGTGAATAGCACCATAAAGATTTAACCTGACAGATACGTTACAAGCACTGATCTATAACAGATACGTGATTACAAGCCGCGCAGAGTGACTACAACTTACAACACACTATTAAATACATATTTTGCAAACTACAGAAAACGAGACAACCGTTTTAATCACACTTCACTTTGTGTAGGAAAGAGAAACTCTGGAAGAATCTGGAGGGGAAAAAAATGGTCCATACATACTGTAACAGTTACTGACAAAATCCTGTACATTAGTAGACTTGATCCTGATCCTTCCTTTAATAACAAATGGCCGCCAAATCCCATGTTGCAGGGTAGGTTATTGTATCAATCATCAGAAAAATGACAGGAACAAACACAGCACACAGTTGGCTATACCAGACGGGAGACTGGAGACTCTCGGATGCCCTTAAATAAATGATAATCTCTTGGAAATCGTGCATCTCCTGCCCGCTCTTTAGATACATCATGCACCTCCAACATGTCCCTCAACCACCCGCAAATCATCTCTGTCTCCCATGGAAATTACGTTTCCCAGCTTGAGATGTCTGCTATATTGTGTTGTTGTGAAAATGAACTTTAACCCTTTAATCCCTGCAGCCGCATGTCTGGCCATCTCTCAGTGATGGTAATCCTCAGGTCATGATCAATCTCATGATTCCTTGCACTACGCTAGTGTCTGAAGAGAAAGGCTCAATCACGTTTTACCGTTCATATTTGGTATTGTTTCATGTCAACGTACATACGAACGAATTTTAAAAAATAATTTATTTTGAGGGAAAAATTAATTTAAAAAATAATATTTTAAACAAAGGTGCGTTTTTAGATTTAACCCTCAGCTGATATTTTTATTCACTTAAAGCTGTGATACACACTGCATGAAATATAACTTTCAAAAGCCCATAATAGGGGCTCTTTAAAACCATGAGATACAAGCTTGCAATTGCAAGAAAAGTTGAGGACTATGAAAAGTTGCACTGTATTTATTCCGGAATAAGCTTCAGAAACACAGTTTACTAATATGTGAATTTTTAGATTTTGCAGACGTACACGTTTCCATCAGCTTTTGTGTTCTATAGACTTGTATATTTAAACAGAATATAATAAAGATTCTGCAGTGAATACGATGGAATGCATAAAGGAATGCTTTAAGCATGACAGTTTTGGTAAAGAGCATTTTATTGTACATAATTGCAACATGGTGATTTCTCACTAATCCAGGGCATGTATGCAACATCTGTTTTTGTGAGTAACAGATAGCCAGTTAGCTCTGCATTGTTACCATCGGACCCGTTTATGAACAACACACCACATCCTGAAAATGAAAGACGTAGTTTCACTTCCCACGGTTAGTGTTGTACCTGAAAACGACTCGTTTTACAGCCTCATTTGTAGCATTAGGCAGCAAACAAATTGCTTTGCAATTCATTGTTCATTATATTTAAGAGGTAAGTACATGTCAAATAACAAAAATAATTACAAAACAAAGAAATTGTACACGTGTATTGATGGTTAACCCATCATGGGTCACATTTGCAGTCGTTGAGGTTAAGCTGACATAAATTGAGCAACGAGATTTCCAGCAGTTGTTTTTTTTCACTACATTCAAGAGCGACTGATAAAAATACATAAATCAATACTAGTCACAGACAGCTTGATAAATAAGCACTTGCGTCAACAGAAATACTGCAGAATCAGTACGATTTGGATAGAAACACCTTTGGAAATGTGGTAAAAACTCTATTGGAGGTTAAAAAAGGTTAAAAACGGACAATATCTTAAAATGCAATTGGAAAAAGTGGATTAACGGCAGTCAATTGCTTCTTCACATTAAACCACATACATATGTGCATTTAAATCTATAATAATAATAATAATAATAATAATAAATGGAGATCTGAATTCATTAATAATTTCTATAAACGCTGATTGTGCCCAACATTTTACGAGTACAATTTGTCACACTGATAACCTGACAATAAACAAATTACCACAAGGAACATCCACCCAAAAAGCAGAACTGCATCCTGTCCTTTTGGCAAACCAGAATGGTAATTCATTGGTTAAGGAAGGGGGAGCTGTAAAGCCTCGATGTCATCATGGTGAAAACAACACTTTTTTGATATAGTCAACTGTGGTGCTGTTCAACAGCATGGCGACATGCTCATTTCCAGGCAGCTCCAGCCACTCCACGGCCTGTTTTTGTTGGCCTTTCCAGCGTTTGCATTGTATGGCGCTTATCAGGTTGACCGTTCCGTCTCCATCTCCATTAATAACAGCCGGGTCTGTATCTGGGAAGTTTGTGTAATTGTAACCCTGAGGTGTTGGAATACCTGTGCCGTAAAGACAGTGGACAGGAACGCCCGGGGGCTGAAGTGCACTAACCAGTGGTTCAGTATCCTGCCTCATGGCCCAGCCATCCTCGTAGTCGATGTCTTTAAAGAAGCGCTGATAGTCCTGGACAGTGTAGGTGGTGTTTGGGGTGTAAACCAGGACCATGTCTTTGGGCCAGGTGTGGGCGTAGGGTAAGAGCCAGGTGGTGGAGACGGCCGTTCGCTGCTGGGTGCGGATTTTTAGGGGACTGATAACAGGAATGCGGTTGTTGTCGCCTAGGATGGAACCAAGATCAGATGATAAAATCAGTGATCACAAATGGTTTTAAAGCGTCTCGATTTTGACATTTTAAAGGATAAAGGATATCCTTATTTAGATTTGAAGGACCCCTGAGGTAGTTTTACATGCATCCAAGGGAGAAAAAAATTGGTAGAAGATCCAAGGTAGAACAACTTTAATTGTAGGCGTCATAAATGATTATCGTTTCCCTTTTACTGTTCTCTTTTTGGTCAGCTGGCCTCTTCTGGCATTGTGTTTGGTCTACCACTTAAAGCATGTGTTAAAAAACAAAACGCACATTACCTTCAGTGTTACCGTCACAAAATAGCTAGTTACTGTAATTACATTTTCCACCTAAAAATTTAGTATTTTTCATTTTTAGCTCATTTAATTAAATTTTACATGTACCATATCTGAATTTCACCTATGATTTTACTTTCAAGAGTCTGCACTTAGATATTGCTTGATAATAATAGCAGGTTTGGGATGGTGTCCCAGGAGAGAACCCTGAGCTCGGAGATAATTGAGCCTAGGTCTCCCGCCTTGTCAATGAGCATGTAAGGGGAGTACGAGATCAGGTAGTTCTCGAGAGCTCCCTGTGGTAAAGGAGTAAGGAGGGAGATGGGGTGGACAGGGGGTTTCTTCAGAAAATGAAGATAAGGGAGTAGTTGTAGCCAGGCTACTTATAAAGAGTTTGGATTCATCTGATTGGCTAACTAATGATTATAGATGAGAGACCAGCTGCGATCAATCATTCCACGTGCTCCTCTCAAAAAAAATTTTTCTCAAAAGTTTGTGAAACTTTACATATTAATCAGGGCCTGAGACAAAAATATTTTGCATTTAATTAAGCACTGAATGGATGTGTCTGACCACTGTGTTCATCAGTTTTGCAGTGTTTCAAACGTGGAACTGAACTAAAAAAAAAGGCTTTTATCCATTACCCTCAATAGTGAAATATGTACACATTTTGTGCAAATGCCATGTAGAAATGTTCTTTGCTATGTTTCCTTCCAAGAATGCGATTTAAGTTTATGTACATAACTAGAATATTGCATAAAAGACGTGCAAATAAAGCAGCGTTTCCATCCAAATAGTCAAAGAGAGCACAATCTTCACTTCCCGATTAACTGGCGCCAAATATCACAAATAAAAAAATGGAATTTGCTGCAGTTGGAGAAGCTGCGTGAATCTTTTCTTCATTTTATAAATGACTTTAGAAGACAATGCCAACATGTAATGAACGTGTGGTGGCGTTTGAAGGCGTGAGATGCGGAGCACAGATACTCTTGAAAGTTCTGGATGTCATTAATAATATAATAACACTAATACTGAGGTGATTCAGGCTTTTTAGAATGACCAAAACCACATTTCAGATGTTTTACAGTGTGCTCAGTTTGTTAGGTTTGTGCATTCACACACATTTTCAGCATCACATGATCTCTTACAACAAAATCACGACTTTAATGCGCATACTGGAATTGATGGGTAAAAGTTTCCATCGTAGTTTAAGCGCATCTTATTGAATAAAAAGTGATCTTACTCAGTTATGTTTTTATGAACAATTTCAATTTGTATGTGCATCTTGGCTTTTCCATCAAATGGTTTTTTATGCGCTTATACAAAATACGCATAAAAATAGCTGGATGGAAACGTAGCTAAATGTTGGTTTCATTTAGTTTTGAAAATCTTATTCCATAAACTATAACTAAAAGAACATGTTTATATGATAACAATATACTACTTATAAGGGGGCGACGCGGTGGTGGAGTGGGTAGCACGTTCACCTCAGAGCAAGAAAGTCGCTGTTTTGAGCCTTGGATGGGTCAGTTGGCATTTCTGTGTGGAGTTTGCATGTTCTCTCGGTGTTCACGTGGGTTTCCTCCAGGTGCTCCGGTTTCCCCCACAGTCCAAAGACATGCGGTACGAGTAAAATGGGTAGGCTAAAATTGACCATAATGTATGTCTGTCTGTGTGTAAGTGTGTGAGAATGCATGTATGGATGTTTCCTAGTCATGGGTTGGGGCTGGAAGGTCATCCGCTGTGTAAAAAATATGCTGGATAGGTTGTTGGTTCATTCCGCTGTGGCGACCCCTAATTAGTAATGGGACTAAGCCGAAAAGAAAATGAATGAATGAATACTAATAATAATAATAAAAAAAACTTTATAAAAAAACTTTCACTTTAAGTGTAAACATTTAAAAGCATTTACTTGCCCTCAAAACCCAGGTTTTGTGAAAACTAATAGCCAAAACTTACCAAATAAGCAAACATTCCCTGATAATAAAAAAAAAGCTTTTGTTTTCTTCTGCAAAGTCTGTGCAAATAATTCATTATTTTCAAGAAGGTTTAGATATAGTTCAAACACTGTGTTATTAAATAAAAATCCAATCGTTGTTTTTTAAAGGAACAGTTCACCTACTTTTTGAATTAATGGACACCAATAATTCAATTTTAATATGATTAAGACAATACTCTGATTAAGAGTCTACTATGTAAACAGTGATTTTTGATTACCTTTATCCGGCTTAAGTTATAATCGAACTAAACAAATCAAATTAAGACGTGGAGTATGCTGATTTTGGTCGCATTATTGAAGTGCAGTACAGACATGTAAACACCTTAATCAAACTATTACCATCGTGTAGGATTTCTGCCGCATTTTGTGAAAGGATAGTCTATGCACACTTCTCTGCACCTACTGAGTCAGTGAAGGACCACAGACACCTGCATCGCAAAATGCAGAGCTTTTTTCTCCCATTCGGCATGCGGTATCAAACTTCATTAAAACTACACTCTTCCAGCAGTTCATACTCACAATCCAATATCTCGTTTGATTTTCACGGAGGACGTGCATGAAATGTTCATAAATTAAAGTGAAAGCGCCAAAACTGCAGTTAAAGTCGACAAATTAACACCCGAAATGAAACAAAACTCAAGAGGAAATGTGGATAGTGCGTTGACTCAATGACGTTAACCCAATTATGTGCTGTAACATGTAAAACAGGATCATGAAAGGAACATTTAAAAAGCAACTCATGCAAACACCTTAATCATGTTATTGTCTTATTTAGATAAAGGAAAATAATTTGACTTCTGGTGTCCATGTAAATCCTTCAATTTTCACACACCACGTTTCTTTTGTGTAGAACAGGAAAATGGAAACACAAGGGTTGAAAACTACTTGAGGGTTGAGTAAATAAAATGTTTTAAGTGAACCATCCCTTTAATGTCCCACATCATGACAAAAACATGAATAATTATCAAATGGTTGCGTTAAGCTTTTTTTTGTTTGGCCCTTACCTGTTGCCATAACTCTCAGAGTTTTGGCCACTCCAGCCCACGGAGGCCCCAGAGACACGTATGCCTTGATGTATCGGTCCTTCCAAGCCTGCGGTTGGTGATTGAGGAAATAAAGCGTGTACATGTTCCCCATACTGTGAGCAATGAGAACCACAGGACCTCCAGCCTTATGAGCCATCTCCTCAATCATCTGCTGCAGACGCAAGAAATACTCCTTATTCTCATCTAGATCCAAAGAAAAATCAACAAAATTAGACATTAAGACCAAAATCATCATGTGTCTGATAACGGTTTGTTTTTATAGATAAGTAGAATGAAAAGAGACTCACTTGGGGCTTTACGCCAGTCATAAGGAGCACCTCGAACATCATCGTTTCTGGTGTAACCCCAGTCAACCAGAGATTGCACTATAGTGAAGAAGTACATGCCTGAAATAGACAACACTCCTGATAAACAACACTACAGCCACTGCAGGTGAAGTTTTCAACATACTTGCCCAGTTAACTGATCACGTTTAGCAATTTAAGCATTACGGATGTGACAGTAGAAATTAAAAACATGAATACACAAAAAGTATACAGTGAACATTATGTTGAAACATCCGTTTATATTTTCCTTAACAAAAACAACAAACCACAGAGTTAAAGGATCAGAAAAATATCAATCTCTAAACAGGGAAATAAACATAGGTTAGGATTGTGACCAAAAAAGTTAGTGAGTTTACAGTCTACATATATAAATTCTATGAATTAAACTGCACAAACCAAAAGAAAAAATGCTAATCAAAAGGATAAGAGTTGTCTTACTATAGAACAAAAATTATTGATTTTAATTTATTTGGCATTTTTTCCATTTATGAGGTAAAAGCTTCATTATGGATGTGACATCTCTCCATTGTGAATGTGATAGATGTGAAATTGCCACTTGTGTGTCTTTGGTAAATCAAATAGAGCTGTTTGAAAACATTAACAGAGATATTTTGAGCATTTTTAAAGTACTGGAAAATACTAGCTTACACCAAAAGAAATGTTGAAACGGTTTCACTATTTTGGTGAAAATGTCTTTTTTTTATAGCAAGGTTGACATTTGCATGGAATTGCTCCGTACTTTGTTTAAAAAATTCTGTTTAAATATGCAAATGACTGAGACATTATTTAATAAAATACATATTTATTTGAATGCATATCTATCTGATCCAGATCGGTCTAAAAAATAATACATTTGCAAAATAAAATAAGTAACTTCAAAACACAACTCAAAAATAGTCAATATCAATTTGTAAACTCAAAACACGATTAAAAAATCTGCAAATCCACTTTGCAAATTTAAAACACGATTTTTTAAATCTTCAAAAAATGATTAAAAATTATGCAATTCTAATTCGTAATTTCAAAACATGGTACAAAAATACACAAACCCATTTTATTTAGTGAAAATATTTATGATTTTTACTTGTGAATTTTGTACTTTTACTTTGTGGGTTTTGTAAATGTTAATTGTTGCTGAGCATTTATGCAATTTATTTTGCTCTAACAAGGAGGCTAAAGACCATGGCCTCTAGTGTCTGTCGCTAAAGCACCTTTCGAGGTTTTTGCTAGCGCACATTGCTAAAGGTCACATGAAGTGCTTTGAAATGTGCATTTTTATTCGATGTTTGATGTAATCTCAATCGAAATATGAAGAGTGGGTGGGGCAATTAAATGAAAATCCGGTTTCGATTTTGGCTTCTAACAATTATGAAAAACCATAAATCACGATAAACAAATCCATTTTATTTGGTGAAAATATTAATGATTTTACTTGTGAATTCACAAATTAGCAGCAACTTCTGGTTTATGCAGACAACCATATGTACATTACCATGTCTAGACTAAAAGAAACATCCAGTTTGTACTCACCCACACTCCGTTTGCTGGGATCCAGGTATTCCAGACTGTAGGTCTCTCCGAAGCCAGGAACTCTGATGTCCACTCCTGGAGGAGGTTCACTGAGGTGATTGGTACGGTTATACAGTAACCTGAGAATTTAAGTCAGCTTTATTTATCTAGCGTTTTTACAATGCAGATAAGTGTCAAAGCAGCTTCACAGTATCAGTGATAAACAGGAAAAATGTCAGAATCCACTCTAGAAACTCCACTCTGGAGACAATTCAGAGTCTGGTAAAACAGCTCAAAAAGACAGGAGTGTTTTTCAGATAGAGTCACATGAATTTTATACTCAGCGAGAAATATATTTGTATACAGAAAACATGGTAATTATGTATTTGCATTGTCAAAACAGGAGGCAAGATTAAGAAGATCAAAAGTGTGCTTTCAATATCAAAAAACACGTAGCATTTGTCGATTTCATATTCACTAGAGCGTGTTACTGTCTATATTTTTTTAAATGGTGTTCTTTCCAAATAAGAATATTAGCCAATGACCGGAGACATCTCATAAATCTTATTATTATTTAATATGATGATAATTATTCATGTTAAAACAAATGTCAACATATTATTTAGTAAAGAATAACTATGTAGAGTGCTTCATGATAATGTTCATTTATATAGCAACACTAAATATACGGTGTTCAAGAGAGCTCAAACACACTGCAAGTCAAAGAAAACACATGCAAATTGAAAAACAAATTGAGAAATCGTCTTCATTGGTTTGAAAACATGTGCACACAAATAGCACAGGCCACAACGGAAATGTGTTGTGGACCCCAAAAAAAGTGACAAATTCGTCTGCTTCCTAGCATCAATATTTTCAGAGATCTGAGATTTTTTTTTTTTTTATGTTTCTTGTTTGTATATTTTCAGCCAAGATAATCTGATGAACTGCACAATTAACGTTAAACAAACACTCTTTTATGGTGCATTCACACCAGCACAGATGAAGCCTCAAGCGAGAGTGATTTACATGTCAAGTCAACGCAAAGACAAAAATAGAAATTCTGGGGTTTTAGCACCAGTAGCCTACTAGTACTGCGCGCTGACATATAGCACCAAAGTGCTTACAGTGACCCGAGTTCGATTGCCTTTTCTTCCCCTCTCTCTGGCCACCCTGAAGAGATGCTCATTTAAATGTACTACTTTTTGTCTATAATAAATCTATTCAATCACTCTCAACTGGGTGTCTGAGTTTGGTTTTCGACTGAAGGAGATCTTTTGCATTAAGTTTTTTTTTTGGGGGGGGAAATCCACCACCCCAAGACATTTGTTTTTCCGTTAAATTACGCCCATGTTGTTTTCCCCTAGACTTGTGGCGTTATAGCTCCCCATGCTTTCCTGTCTAAATTCTATACTGTCTTGTCATAATAAAGGTGAAAAAACCCTAAAAAAAAAAAAAAAAAAAAATATATATATATATATATATATATATATATATATATATATATATATATATATATATATATATATATATATATACATACACATACATATACATATATATACATATCACGAGAGTTACTACGAACTTTGTATTAAAATAAAGAAGAAAAAAAAAAATGACATCACTCTCAGATTTCCAGGAATAACCCTGACTCTGAACAGGAAGCAGCCGGTTTGTCAATTTTGGGGTCCCCCAACACATTTCCATTGTAGTCTGCGCTATTTGCAGCTAACTTCTGTATTTGGCATGTTGTGAGAATTGTGTTGTGTCAATCTGACGACGTTTTCTCATTTTGTTAACGTTTTTCTATTTGTATTTGTGTTTGTGTTTGTGTTTTTAACTTGCTGTGTGTTTGAGCTTTCTCTTTCTTCTAGGCTTGCTACTACTATTATTAACAATAGGAGTGTAACGAATCACGGTTGATCCATATTTCGTACAGATCACAACCCACGGTTCGAAACACACGTGACCCATGTATTAATACATTTTTTACTTGTAGATTAATCCTAAATTTATAACGATCACAGAGAGATCGTCTCTCGCGTCATTCAAATCACATGTATGAAAGCATTTAGGCTTTCCTGTAAATTATAATGATGACGGAAGTAGTTGTGGAGGGTTAGTCGGGACATGGTGGGTTTCTTAAGTTTTTAAAGGTGTTTTCTGTCACTACTTGTTTAGCCTGCATTAATGTATTCAGTGTAAGCTGCACGATTGATCATTAAAAGATCAGGATCTTAACACCCACGCAACATAAATTATAAATGATGGTGATTTGCATATGCTTATTAGTCAGAGATGGTCTTTAGTCTTTTGAGTTAGCTTCAGAAGTTATAACCAGTCAAATAACACAAAAGTACTGGCATAACAGTTTATAGTTTAGTCGATTAAAATCCTCATCATATATGCATTTAACGACGCTCAAAAATAAACGTTGGATGCAGAAATTACATTATTTAACCAATAGGTGGTGACAGTCCACCATCAAAATATGCCACTGAATTAAATTTTTTAATTCTTTAAAAATGAAACATCATTACAAAATATCAGGTTTTATGAGTGAATAATGGAATCATTTATTGAAAATGAGACTAAAATAAATATGGTTTGTACAAATTATAATGTTATATTTCTACATTTAGCCTTATCAGCAACAGTAGTAACATTGACTTTCCACAGTACTGAATATTTTAACATATATTTTTATTCTGCTGATTATTTCATTATTTCCTTCTTAATAAAATTACAGGTTCTGTTTGTTAAAACCAAAAGTGTCTTGCAGTGCTGTTTTTGAAATAAATGGAAAGCAAATTACATTTATCTCCTATCCCTTTTTGGCTCATCCGAAAAATGGTCCTATTTGTGGCTAAAAAAAAAAACAATGTAATCCAAACCATGAGATTTGTGTTCCATTACACCACTAATTAATAAGAATTTATAAATACTGTAATATTACAAAACTAACCTTTATAGTTATGTGCTCATATTAAAAGATCTTGATTTAAACATGTCTATATTATCTTTTAAAACAATTGATGTAATACCTATAGAGATAATTAATGATGTTTTACTTCCGTCACTCTACAAACGTAGTTGCAAAAGAAAGATATGTGTTTTTATTAATGCTATGGATTTGTTTTTAATTGCAGAGAGACCTCGTATTGTTTTTACCTCATGTTATCAATCCAGCAGTCAATGGCCACCGGCACCAGCAGCTCCAGGTTGAGCCACAGTGTGAAGTAGTCCTCGGTCTTCTTATAGCAGATATAATGCACAACGCTGGGCTTGTCTAGTTTTGCTTCCAGCTGGTTCCCAAGATCTCCCGGAACTATGGAGAGAGACAAAAAGTGAGTAATTAGGCAAATGACAAATAAGAGTACAAGAGATTTCACGGAAAACTCAATATTAAGTGCTTTACGAACTACAAAGAATCCTTGATTAAACAAACTTGACTCTATCACCATTTAAAGGGGATTACCTAATCCTCCACTGCTGATTAAACACCCTTATCATTGCTAATCTCTCAACCAGTTTGTTCTGGCTTAAAGTATTTTATAAACCACCGCTGTATTTACAAGTACGGTTTCCTGCAAAGTCTGCAAGTTTTTATCATCCGTCACATTTTTTTTTTTTAAATATTTAACATTTAAACCACAAGGAGAGTTTTTTTGTTCACATTATCATGTACATATTGACTAGTCAAATATTGTAGCGGCTGTAAAACAGTCTAAAGATATATTTTATCACTGAATAATAGTGCAGTGTTGATTCAGACAGATAAATTTACTTTATTTTAGCTCAGTGGTGCTTTTATTTTAAGGTTATTTTATAGTATTACATTATATATAATTGCAGTAGAAACTTAGATCCTGCTGAATGCTTTGGAGTACAGCAGATCATTTAAATTTGATATCAAAAATATTTGTAAAAGTCAAGATTTTAAAACCGCTAAAGTTTTCTGTTATACTATTCCTACAGTATATGCAAGTTTTTTATGTGTTGTAGAAATCTGTGTTTTTGAAACTAGCAAAGACAGCAGAAGTCAATTATTTATTTTAATTATTTAGCCAGACATGTTTACTGTTCCAAAATATTATAAATGTTTCCTAAAATGTAATACATTGTGTTAAATGGGAGGAAAAGTAATTTTTTTTACCCAGACATTTAAAAATAACATCTTAGAGCAGTAATCACAAAACCATGATACCATGGTATTTTAATTCCGGGGTTATCATACAGTCAGAAACTTACGTCGGCCCATGCCTAGTAAGAGTATTACTATAATATTGCATGGTACTTATTATTTAATGAATCTGAGCTGACATACTAACAATGTGCAACTGCATGTTAAAGATTTATCAATAATGTAAAAATGTATTGTTCATTGTTATTTATAATATTAACAAATGTAATAAACAATAATAATCAAAACTTTTTGTAAAGTGTAGTGATATTTCTACAAGCATTTTATACGTAGGTTTTCAACAGTGGTTTAGCCTACAGTGGTTTTTACCATATAACAATACCATATACCAGAGGTGCCCAAATCTTATGGCATGAAGGGCCAAAAACCAAATATCATACAGAGCCGTGGGCCGAAGGTAAATATGCCAAACTATTTAACGTTATTGTCATGGTTAATTTCCTAATTATTCCTAATATTTATTTTTTAAAAATCAAAAACATTTCTTTAAAATGGTATTAACTAATGCAGTAGAACTTTTTAAATGATAACTTACTCCAAAAAAACATAAAAAATCACATGTATACATTTATACAGTTCAATACTAAATACACTAGTCAAGCAGAGTCTGCCTTTGACTTAATTTGCTCACCAAAATCTCTGCATTGTCAGGTAACAGTATGTACATTTAAACAAAATCTGATTATTTACAGCATTTAATTGACACATTTAATTTCAGTTAGCTTTTCAAACAAAACAAACAAAGGGTTACATTCATTTTGATTTGACAATCTCAAAACCATCCCCATCATTCTCCTACTGTTCTCAGATGGGATGGTCCCGCAGGGCCTAGTTTGAACATCTCTGCCCTTTACTAAAGATTTATAAAAAATGTAAAAATGTATCGCTCATTGTTATTTATAATATTAACAAATTTAATAACCAATAATGATATAATTCACCTTATTGTGAAGTGTAGCTATTTCTACAAGCATATTATATCGATTTTTGACAGTGGTTTTGCCACTACACCCATGTCAAAAACATGGTAAATTTAATACCATTTACTAAATATATCATATACCAATACCCTGAAGATTTATAAATAATGTAAAAATGTATTAGTTATTGTTATTTATAATATTAACAAATAAAATAAACAATAATCAAATTCTGGTTTTTGTAAAGCATAGCGATATTTCTACAAGGATAATATATAGATTTTTGACAGTGGTTTTGTGCATGTAAAGTATCTGTTGTAAATATTACTCAAAATATGAGTAAAAAGCAGCCCTTTTTAAAGTACTTAAGAGGAAAGTAGTAAAGAGTATTATGCTGTAATACTGTAATTAATTATGCTGTTTACATGTCATCTGTGGATGTGTGTAAACGTAACATTCTGTAGTGCATTTAGTTATTGCCCAGCAGGCACAAAACATCATAAGACATTAATATCAGGTTAGATTTAGGTTGTGATGTCAGGTGACCAAAATAGTCATAGTGGTAACGTCCGCACAGCATCAAGCTGTAACATCATTAGACGTTGATATTTGGTTGATTTTAGGTTGGCCGTTGGATATAGATCTCAACCTGATGTTGGGTTCTGATGTCAACCAAATGTTCGTTTCCAAACAAAATGCAACGCCCCCATGACGTTGGGGTACAACGTCAATCTGACATCTTGTTGACGTCTTGTGCCTGCTATGTGATTAAGGCCGTTCGGTCATCATTGAGTAAACATCCCTTATCTCATCAGTGATATGCATCTAAACAGTCTCTGGGTCAATGTGTGTAAAGATTTTGGACATCTTCTTGGACACTTCCAAACAATTTGCTGCTATTATAAATTGCCCATGTCTTGAAGTAGTTCAGTATGATGCGATTTACCTTCTATATGCGATTTGATTAGACAGAAATCACAGGACTGATTTTTCTAATCTTCATAGACAAGAAAAAAAAAATACTACACTAAAAATGTACTCAAGGGAAAGTACAATTGCACATTTTTAAAGCTACTTAGTAAATTACAATTCCTGAGAAAAAACTACTCAATTACTGTAATCTGAGTGTTTGTAATTTGTTACTTTACACCACTGCCAATACCATATACTAAAGATTTTTAAATAATGTAAAAATTTACTGTTCATTGTTATTTATAATATTAACAAATGTAATAAACAATAATAATCTAATTCAGTGTAGCCATATTTCTACAAGGATATTATATGTTTTGGACTGTGGTTTTGCCTCTGCCCCAATGTCAAAAACATAACGGTAATACCATTTACTAAATAAACCATATATCAATACCATAAAGATTTATAAATAATGTAAAAAAATGTATTGTTCATTGTTACTTATATTATTAACAAATAAACAATAATAATCTAATTCAGCTTTTTGTAAAGTGTAGCGATATTTTTACAAGGATATTATATCAATTTTTGACAGTGGTTTTGCCTCTGCACCCATGTCAAAAATATGTTAATACCATATACTAAAGAATTATAAATAATGTAAAATGTATAGTGCATTGTTATATATAATGCTAAAAAGGAAAAACTGTACAAAAGCAGGCACATCACTGTTAATATTGTAAATAAATATTGAAAAAGGTCGCAACACCAAAGCTCCAAAGATGCAAATGTATTAAATTAAATTTTTAAAAAGGCCGACACGAAGCATGTACACATTTTGTGTCAGCCCTTTTAAATTTGATTTAATAAATTAGCATCTTTGGAGCTTTGCTGTTGCCGCCTTTTTCAATACTTATTTATAATATTAACAATTAAAACAACAATAATAATTTAATTAACCTTTTTGATATTTCTACAAATATATGCATAGGGTTTTGACAGTGGTTTTGCCTCTGCATCCATGTCAAAAACATGGGAACGTTAATACCATTTACTGAATGTGTCTAAAAATAGCGTAGTACTTTATTGTCATCTCATATTTAACTAAATATAGTCGTATATTTCATATTTCGCAAAGTGAGGAATTAAAAACCGCAAACAATTTAGTCAGTATCTTCTCAAGAACAATTACGAAACGGGTGACAAAAAAACAAGAGTCTACTTTCCCCCTTGTGTCATATGACCGCGTCATATGAGAAACCACCAAAGCGAAAATAAACAGACAACAGAAGAAAATGCTAGAAAACAAGCCGACCGTATCTTCTATGACCCAAACACAGCTACTGAATGTACTCATTTTACACTTTTAGATGGATATGTTTTAGTTTCTTCGATATGAAAAAAATCATGCCGCTGTCACGTGCCACAAACTGTTCTTAACGTACCTACAAATTTCAAGTTTACGTTTAACTGTTTTTAAGAATATGTTAAGCTAACAACTAAATACATGGCTATAAACACATTCATGTATTAAACATTAAAATATAGATATGAAGTTAAAACCGACTACTGTACATTCTGTACCAGTGGCCGTGACACAAACACGCTACCAAGACAACACAACTACTTGGCAACAAAACAAGCGCGGACGGCAAAAGTGTCGCCTAGGTAGGCAGCGCACTAGAGTTTGCGACGCCTCCCGCATGACAGTTTATCATGAGACAAGTAAACAACCATTGATTTGAGTCACAAATGCAACAGGACATTACAACACAAAGGATATTCTGTAAGGAACCTACTGAGAACCACAGGCGGCCGAACTGAGCACACTTTTCCAGGAGGGCATTTCAAACTTCTGCCTTCGGTAAAAGACACCACCAACAACAACAAACACAGCTGGAGCGACGCGAGGATCAACCGATGGCTGGGAAGCATCTCTTTCGGCGGATCTGCAGGCTGACAGCGTAAACGGTGTTTATCTGTCCATCTTGAAGGGGTGAAATGAGCTGAGAAGTAGCGTTTCTGGGTCTGTGCAGCAGTGACAGTGTGATGATGATGAAGACAGACAATACGGCGATCAAGCAATAGGTGTTTTTAAAGCGGACAGACGAGATTAAGCGATGGCCGAGCGCATCGAGTCGGTGGGCGGGGCTTTTGGATTACAGCAGATGGATGGAACAATCCATTTTTTGATTTCAGCATAATAATACTTTCAGGGGTAAGTATTAGAATATTTTGTGTGCAGCTTATTGTTTTAGGAGGTAATGAATGTTTCAAAATGAACAGAATAATCTTTCGTCAAATATTTTCTTACCACAAATCACGAAACATTTAGCAACAGCATTATTTAACTTGAATAACCTGATTAATTTGCCTTGTATTAAACATAGATAATTGAACATTTTTAGTGAAATCTTACGCAATGCATTTTCATATATGCTATTACGTGAGTCTAGTTTTCTTTTAATTTACTAACTTGAGTACTTCTAACCTCCTTCGTTAACATTTCAGTTTTTATGTATATCTCAGATAGCTTTAAATTATCTTTTAAATATATTTTATTGATTATTTATTCATTTTAATACTTTAAATAAAAATTATTAGCAAATTTAATCTATCATTTATATTTAAGTTGAGTTTTTTTAAGTCTTGTTACATGTGTTGACATTTCTATTAGTTTTGAATATAATTGAACATTATATAATTCTAATATTTGTTTATTTGTTTTATTTTGTAGTTTATTTATTATTTATTTTTTACTTTATTTCAGTTAGTTGGCATTTTTCCAGTTCCGATTTATTTAGATTACTAACATATTTGGGTTAGCAGTAGATGCAAACCTTTCAGTACTCACATAAAACAGTTGGGTTAATAATCATTTTGGCACCAACCTGCTGTTGGGTTATTTAACCCAATCCACTAAGTTGTTAAGGTTAACCCAACAATTTGGATTACAAAATTAACTAATTTGTTGGGTTATTTTGCCAAAAAGTGGCTTAACCACTATATAATAAATTATTATTATCATTATTGGTTTGATGTCTCGGCTGGGTCCTAAAGATGAGAATGACGGCCGAATATTTCAATTATGTGTATCATTTCCTCCCAAAAAAAACTGTAGAAATGAACACAGAGGTAGAGAAAGCGTTTATATCTGTATAGATCGGCTATGGAGCACGCGTTTGTATCATGAAATTAAGAGTGCTGGTGAAACAGACTTTAAAAAACATGACACAGAAAGGAGTTTTTTTTTTTTTTTTTTTTAAATAAATAAATAACTACAATTTTATTGCGATCGACCCAGGTTCGAATTTTGTAATTTTGGGGCCCTAAGCAATTCCAGCCAAAGGGCTCAAGCCCTGAAATGCACCCTTTCAACATTTATTTCATATTTATTTATATTACTGTTTTTTATATCACCCAATCTTCTTTTCAACATTTTAAAATAATGCAAGCTCTACATTTTAAATGATTCATTCATTCTTTTATTTTCTTGTCGGCTAAGTCCCTTTATTAATCCAAACTCCACACAGAAATGCCAACTGAGCCGAGGTTTGAACCAGCGACCTTCTTGCTGTGAGGCGACAGCACTACCTACTGCACCACTGCCTCACCCTTAAATGATTCATTTTCTTAAAATGAATTTAGTACTAAAAATAATCCATAGATTTTTTTATTAGATTTGACTGCTGGATTACTTCATGATGGATATTTTATTTTGTTACATAATTATTACATAACATTACTTTATTATAATAATATTATATTTGATTGCACATTAAATATTTAATTATGCTAAACAAATTGTATTTGTTTAGAAAACAATGTTATATATAGTTTAGAGGTACATTGTAAAACCCAAGAGTCAACTTTATCAAATGAAATAAGTGTAGTTAACTCAAAATTTACTGGAAGTTATTTTTTACTCATTTGAAAAGAGTTTTAAACTGAGTGCTGAAGGAAATGATGAGTCAATTAAATATCTCATTACTGTAAATGGAGTAAGTTCACAGTACCCATATAGATTAGTTTATTAACTCAAATGGTTTGTTGCAATTGGTTTCCTCAAAGGGTTTGAGTTGCCTTAACTTGTTGAGTTTTACTACTTACCTTGCTTATTGGTCAGATCCACACTGTAAACCCTAATGCTGTAACTAATTAATTGAGTTGAGTTCTATTAACTTAAATCATTAAAATTCGTTTATTTTAATTAACCTTGATGAGTATTTAGAACTTTTTCTTATTTTTGAGTTTGTAAAAATGTAATCTTTCAAGTAAGGTGAACAATTCTGCTGGGTTTAATCTATACAAAATGTCTCTTTAAAGTTTCATTAACTCAAATTCTGTCAGCCTAGTGATTTTGCGTCTGACGTCATCCAGGTTCACGTACGTGCTCATGCTTCATTCGTTTTTTTCAAGATGGCGGATCGGCCTCGCTTCACACTACAGTAAGTAAAATATTTACAAATCCAAGAAATATTAAATGTATGTTTTAATTAATATAATCACAGTAACAGTTCAATGTAATGTAGAGTTAATCAGGGTGCGTTTACATGTCGTACATTACAGAAAACATGTTTAGCCTCACTTGTTGCTAACTAACGTTAACATTACTGTTTAAAAAGTTAGAATCAGTGCAATGTTAGCGTTAGTTGTAATGTGTTAACTCTGAATTTTAACAGAGTGTGATAAAGACAAAAATATTTAAAATCGGCAGATTACATTTTTCAAAAAAATTTAAATCTTGGCGCGAGTATGCCTTTTCTCAGCCTGTGCTGAAGTTGTCATGGAGACGTGCGCTCTCACAACCGCATGTCATGGCGCTGCGCTGAACTCCATCCAGTCTGTGAATGTGGTATTATCTTCGCGATCTGTAGGCACTTCGGAAACGAAAGGCGCAAGAAACGTAACGTTAATCATAACTCAAATGATCTCCGCCTAAACACTTAACGGTATTTTCTGATGACGCGCAAAAACGTAGTCTCAAAACTTAACTCTGTCACACGCAGCTTGTTGCTTGCTGATCCATGTATGAGGATAGCCTGACGGAGAACATTTAAGCTGCGCTCCTCACCTGAGCAGGTACAGAGCAGAGCTTCATTTTACACTACCACATTGAGGTAAAGTTGGTTTTATATTCATACATTCATTTAGTAACAACTTGTGACTCGCTCCATAAATTGTTTACCATGGTTCTTTGTCTATTCGTTCTGAAATCACATGCAAGTATGACATGAAAACAACATTACACTAAATGCACTATTGTTTTTTGACTGAACAATGTTGTACTTTGAAAGTCATTGGCTGCTAATATGATTTCACCATTAAGAATATGCAAAAATTACCTTTCTGAAATTATATTATTAAGGAGAAAGTCTGAATGTATAAATATAAAACTAACTTTACCTCAATCACCAGCACTGATCAACACTTAATATTTCCTCGCGCTTAAGACGACATCTCTGCATATCAATGATTACCTGATTAATGCGATCAGTTAAATGAGTTTAAATGTCATTTAGGTCAAATGTATTTTAAAGGTATGATAAAAGTTTTTTTTTTTTTTTTTCAATCTATTTTTTAAAATGTCTACTCTGGAGAGAATATAAACAGCCTAAAAAACAAAGTATGCATATCTATAACACATTAATACAAAATTATGTTATTAAATAAAATAATAACAAAACAAAATATTCAAGACATGGTAAAGAAGACAGTTTTCTGATGTGCAAATTTTGTAGCTTAAAATATATTTATATCTTAAAAATATAAATATTTTAGTCTATATATTTTTACATCATTAGACAATAAGGTAAGTTTTGTTATTTCTAGCTTTTAAAATCAGGCCTTAAATTTCTTTGTCGTCCTATTCAGTTTTAGAAATTTCAATACTGTTTAAATTAAATCTGTGTTCATCGAATTAAAGCAACTTACATGATAATCAGCTCTATTGCTAACCGTTTTGGAGGTTAACGTTAGACATCATGCAATTGTACTACTTCCACTCTCAGCTAAATGACACTGTGACTTTGTGTACTTACAGAATTGAAGGTCGGGTGTTGCTGACTACAGATAGGTTCTTAAATGGAGGCATGTGAAAGGTGGGTAAAATATTTATTTTGTACTACTATGCCTGGCATATCCAGATAAAATAAATATTACAGTGTATTTATCAATGATACTTTTGCAGCAAGGAAAGTGAAACTTCAGCTAGACCTTGAGTTCAGTTTACAACATGAAGATCCTGCTTTCAACATCTGATCAACACCTGAATTTCATCTGAGGTAAAAAATAGACAAGTAAATGAAACATAATAATAATATTAATACATTTTTTCTAGAATTGTATATTTTGTGGTGTGGGTTTGTTTAATGAAATTCTCTCTTGTTTCTTTTTGCTGTTTGCAGAGTACCAACATGTTACAAATGAGAATTTTCCCCACAAATTCTTTGCAAAACTGGACCACCACCTATTTCATTTGATGACAATTTAAGGCAAACAGCATCCAAAACTGGCAAGACAGCAGATACCCTGGCTAATCTTTTAAAGGTTTATGATGAGCAGGTATGTTTGGGGTCACGTGTTAAAGTATACATTAAAATATAATTTGAATTATTATTTTTTTTTTAATTTTTAAAAAATTGATTCTTGATTTCCAGGAACTGAATGATGTCAGTTCATGACGGACTACTGTTATCAGAGGTCTTTTGGTCTTGCTGCGTGAGCGTGACTTAAGATTCTTTAGGAACACCCTGGTAAGACTTCATTCATTCTTTTCACAATTAGGCATGTTTAATGAAAAGATGAAAGTTTTGAAAACTTTTACTTAATAACATATTTGTAATCAAGAATAGTTGATGAATCATATAATATTGGCTCAGTCATTTTGATACTGTCCTTACATTAATGTCCTTGAATTATGTTTTTAGATTGATAATCCTGCTGACTGAAGATGCTTTATTGGCCCTGCATTCACTGAGGGTCTCTGTTGTCCTGAAGAATGAATTGGACACCACCCACAGCACACTTCCAGACCTTTCTTGTCTTGTATGGATTAATGTATGCTCTTCACATAATATATAGTAAAGGACT